CCCAGGCAGAGTTCCCAGGCACAGGACATGTCTGCCTCCGTGACTTCTGACTAAGACAGGTGTGGGGGCCTTGTGTTCTGTCATGATCAGCTGACCCCCACCCACAGCATCCCCTTTCGGCCTTGAGGTGCAGGGGTCTGTTGCAGGTCCTCCCCAGAACTCTCCCTGTCCACTCCTCCCATCAGGACCCTCAGCTGGAATCAGAGCACTGTGCTTCTGAGCACTCCCCTACTCAGACTTCCACCAGCTGGGCACTGATACTTTCCTCGGGGCCACTCAGACCTCCCAGGACTCTGCCTACTAGACGTGGGGATGGCAGCGTGGAAAAGACAGAGATGCCATGCCCAGCCCAGGGTACACCACATCCCTGGAATGTGGCCATTCAAGCAAGCTCTTGTGGCAGTATCTGAAGGGTGGCCTTGCAGGTGCCCAAGGCTGCTCTAAGCCCCACCTCTCCCAAAGAGGCCCAAGTTGGCCTCCCTGAAGTGTGGAAAGGCCCAGCTGCTCTCTGTACTGAGCATGGGGAGGTGGTGACCCCCACTGCTCCTGGCTCTGCCTCCTGCCCTCTCCTTTCCACATCCTTTTGAGAACTGGGCAGGAGCTTCCTGGGCCTCTTCTCAGGGCAGCAGGACTGAGTGGATTCCTCGGGGGCCAGGCCAGGACCCAGTTGGTACAGGCTGCTCCCTAAAAGCTATGTCATGCAGTACTAGTGCCTCACAGCATTTACCCCTCAGCTATGGCTGTTTTCTGGCCCCAAACTCTCTCAGAGGACAGAGAAGGGCCTGGACGTTTTGTTAAAGACCACTGGGAAGTTCCCACCATTCAGTCACTGTGACGTCTGTCCTGCTGGCTGGTCCAACAGCATTAGGTACCTTCTCCCACCTGGGTGTGCAGGTGCTGTGGCTCTGGGTGGCAGCAAGGTGAGGAAGGAATGTTGGGCTGGACACACCTTCAGGTCCCATCTGCACAGGTAGCTGAGGGTCCCAGAGTCCCTACCTGCAGAGCAGGAGGGTCAAGCAACCAGGGTTCCAGATGCTATCTGTAGATCCTCAGGGGGCCCACCCAGCAGGCAGGAAGGAGCAGCAGCCATCTTGGAGGGACAGGTGTGGCCAGTGGGGCCAAACTGCATTCAAGTCACATGCTGTAAGGAGTCCAAACAGGAAATAGACTAGGGTATCCACCGACCAAGGACACCTGAATCAGCAAGATGCAGATCAGGGTCCTTCCTGAGCCCTGGAGCCTTGACCAGAGCAGCCACTAACATCACCTAGTCTCCCAGGGGCAATCTCCAACTTCCCAGACCCAAATAGGCCTCCATTTTCACTACTGATGATTGCTGAGAGCCATAGCCGAGTTGGAATGACGAATGGCATTTTTGGGAGTGGTTGAGAGGTGACATCAGCAAGCCATTGAGATGATGATGGTTATGTTAAGCTGTGTATTCAATTGTATATTAGACCCCTGCTGTCGGCCTCAGGAGCCGGCTACTTTAGAGTTGTAGAGTTCGTGTTGGTTGGGGAAGTGCTGGAGGAGGGATTTCCGGTTGGTGTGTGGTGTGTCCCAGGGGAAGGCCCTGTGGGTAGTTCGGAAATAAAGTTTGTTCCTGCTTGAGTGGCTCTTGATTTGTGCCCAGCCAGACTGCGGCAGATGATCCGACTCCTTGTCTTTAATTCTTGCTTCAACCTTTGTGCTAAGACCAATCAATGTGGAAGGAATGCCTTTCAATGATGCAGTAGGGCCAACTGTTGTCCACATGCAAGACAATGAGGTCAGAGCCTCACTTCATATCAGAGGCAAAATTAACTAAAACTGAATAGAAGACCTCTACATAAAAGCTAGAACTGTACTGCCTTTGAAGGAGAACACTTGATGACAGCCTTGGCTCTGATATCTTGGTTATGACACCAAAAGAAGATGATGAAAAGAAATGAATACATAAGTTGGACTACCTAAAAACTTGGAACTTGTTTTTTGTATCAAAGAACACAATGAACAGAATAAAAGGCAACCTACAAAAAGGGAGAAAATATTCCAGTATCCAGAATATATAAAAATTTCCTACAATTCAACAACAAAAGATTAGTGACCCAATTTTAAAATGGGCAAAGGTCTTGAAAATACATTTCTCAAAAAAACATATGTAGCCAATAAACACATGAAAAAATGTACAAAGTAACCATTATTAGGGAAATGCAAAACAAAACACAATGAGATACCATCTCATACCCATTAGGATGACTTCTGACAAAAAAAGGAAAAAGAAAGGAAAAGGAGGAGAGAAAGGGGGAACAGAAAGTTTGTGTTGGCCATGATGCAGGGAAACTGGAACACTTGAGCACTGTTGGCAGCAATGTAAAAGGTGCAGCTTCTGTGGAAACAGTGGGGCAGTTTCTCCAAAAATTAATGACTGAGCCAGGCACGATGGCCATGCTGTGATCCCAGACTCAGGAGGATCCAAGCACCAGCCCAGCCTGGGCAGCTTAGTGAGACCCTGTCTCAAAGTAAAGATAAAAAGATCTGGGGAATGTGGCTTAGTGACCCCTGGGTTTGGTTGCACATTTCCACTGATAGATGACCACATAACAGGCCATCACACCTTCTTGATTTACTCGGCCTTGAAAAGGAAGGACATTCTGACACCTGAAACAATTTGGGAGAAGCTGGAGGACATTATGCTCAGGGAAGTACACCTGAACAGGACAAGAGCTATAAAGTTCCACTCGGCCGAGGTCCACAGAGTCGTTGAATTCATAGACAGAGGTGGAAGGGGTTTTCAAGATTAGGGGAGGAGGAGAAGGGAGCTGGTATTTAATACAGGCAAAGCTTCAGTTTTGGAAGATGGAAAGTTCTGGGGATGGCGGGTGACAATAGTCACACAGCAAAGTGAACATTCTTAATGCCACTGGATTGTGTACTCAGAAATGGTAAGCATGATGAACTTCATGTGTACCAGACATATGCAGACAGGCAAGAATCCCCTTACCAAACCGTCCATCAGGCAAGGTCTGCCTCTCAGAGGCACAAGGGGCAGCCTCTTGAGCCTCTGAGGAATCAGACACCAGTCAGATAATGTCACATGCACTGGCACATGAGAGCCAACGTGAACTCGTGAGCTGCACTTAATGTTGAGAAGCCAGGAGTGTGGCTGGCCCTTGACCTTCGTGTCATCAGGCCAAACTCTGACCTTGCTACTCACCCTCCAGGCAGCAGGGAGGCCCCTGGTTGTCAGAGGATGTGGAAGCTCAAAGAATCTGGCATGAGCCCATGGCAGGGACAGGATCCCGTATCTCCCCATCCTGACCCCGGTTCCCCTCCCTGCACCTGCTAACACCACCTCTATCTGGATAGTGGGCTCCAGGGGTGACCAGGTGATGGCACAGGAGGGACAGCCTTAGCTTTATGTGGACTGTTTCCCCTCAGGAAGGGCCCTCTGAAGTTTGGTGGGAACTCCAGGGTGGAGAGTGGTTTGTTTCTTCATTTCCGTGCTCAGACAAGGTGCCAACCCATGCACACATCATCCATGGCAGGAGGGTGTGTGATCTTGAGGACACAGGAGAGGACTTGCTGCAGGTCTCAGCAGGCCTGGCCTCTCCAGGCCAGTGCCTTGTCCATTACTGTCCCTGGCTCACTCCATCCATCCACACTCACTCCATCCTGACGACCAGTTGAGTGGACAACAGGAGAGCGAGCTGCCTAGAGCGTCCTGGCCACATCCCATAGCCACCCCGGCACTGGGGGATGCTAACAGCCCTCAGCCTCTGCAGCTGCTGTGAACACCCTCCCAGCAGCTGACAGGTCCTCTGTGGCATGACCATACTGCCCCCACGTGGCCCAAGGCCGTAGGTGTCCCACTGGCTGTGAGGGTGCTGCGGGAGGCGGCCAGCGATGCATTTTACTGGGTGCATTTCCCAGGTGTCCTGGTTCTTACTGCTCAGACCCCACCAGGAGCCTGCTCAGGGGTATGCAGAGGGTGGGTGGGGCTGGGGGCCCTACTGCACTTCAGGTAGGCTCTGTAAGCCCCTGCCTTCCCAGGACTTCCAGGGAACAGTGGTGGATGCCCCACCTCAGTCCCCAGGCCACTGGCCACCATCTCCACTGGCTGAACATTCTACCCCAGCCATTGTGAATTCCTGAAAGTAGTGTTGCATTCTCAGGTGTGCAGCACAGGGACTCTCAGGTGTGCGGTGGAGGTGTACCCAGGCATAAGGGCAGGGAGATGAGGCCGAGTAGGCTGATCATGGGGCCTGTGGGGCTGAGATGAGGAGGGAGCACCCTCCACAGGCTCCTCCAGTAGCAAGGCAGTAGGGCTGGGACCCTGGAGGAAGTGCAGAGACTGGGGCTTTAACTAGATGGCAGTCAGGTGCCCATGAAACAAAGAAGCAGGCAATGCACACTGAACTCGTGGGTCCGAGGTGTGAAAGTGGACCTCACTGGACGGGGGTGGGGTCAGCTGCTGGTCTCGGTCACAGCTTGTCAACGTCCAGGAGGCAACCATCATGGATGTGAGTAGAAATTTTCATGATCCCCAGGAAACCCCACAATGGAGTCACATAAAGCCCCACAGGCCCCTTGGCTAGTGACATCTACAATGCCACTCTGCCACCACAGCCCCTAATGATCCCAACAACTAGATACCAGACAAGAAACCCTCACCCTCCAGGTCCCATCCTAGGCCAGCACAGGCCCCAGTGGACCCCATGGACACCCAGTTTCTCATCAGTGGCACCCACAAGAATCCAAATGTCCTCACGTCCTCCCCACAGGTCTGACTACACCACCCATCTCCTTCACGCAAAGCTCACAGGTGAAGGGCCCAAGCCCTCCAGTTGGCATGGGGCCGCTGGGAGTGGCCTCACCTCTGTGGGACACCTCGTCTCCCTGTCTCATGCCTGTCCTGCTGGTCCCATCAGATGCAGCTTCAGGCACGTGTGTCTAAGATGATGGATGCTGGGGAAGTGGGCACATTTCTTCCCTGTTTGATGAGGAGCTACAAGTAGGCCTCGAGTGTGTACCTTTACTTTATTGCTTGTGTTGCCTGTTCCCATGAACACAATAAACTCCTTTTAGAAAAGTAAGGCACGTGAAAGCCTCGGTGCAAGTTCCATTTCACTTAAAAATTCTATTGGCTGATAAAAGCATTTCCACTACAGAACTGGAGATCGAGGAAAGCACATGATGCATTTTGGGAGCAGAATACCTGAACCATTATTAGGTTTCGCCTCATGGCACAATTAGCAGGCCAGCAAACCCAGTGTTTCTTAGGTTGACATGGCGGCTGCTACGACTGCAAAGCCCTAGTCAGCTCATCCACATATGTACAGCCAGGTCCCCAAGTGTTAACCACACAAGATCCGACGGAAGAACAGCGTCTAACTGCATCTGGGTCCCCATTTGTTACAGGGAAGGAATTTGGCATTTTCAGTCTTTTCTCGTATGATGTGCTGCTGTCCACGAGGCGTGCATTATACAATGCTGAAGACCATGGAGAGATACTGCTCATAGGACACCTGAATCCAGCCATCTTGATCCGTGTCGTAACGTCTGAATATGTCCGTCAACCTCTGGGAAAAGAACAGGCATTTAGAGCTTGGTGTGTGCTGAACAGAAGGACAAAATGGGACATCTGGAAACACAACCTCAGAATCACATGTCCCTCATCCCTGAGAGGGACATGGGTGATGGACACCCATGCCAGAGGCACAGGTGGAAGCAGCCTCAGCACTGTCTACGGGGCAGTGGAGCCTGAGGACATGGGATGAAGGGTAGCGCAGGCCTGGCCCCACTAGACTCCAAATGGGTACTCCCTCCCATTCTGGGTCATGGGCTGATCAAAGTTCAGAAGCATCCCCATGGGTGGCTCCTCCCGAGGGCGCATCTTGGTGGTGAACTGGGCCAGGGAAGACAGTCCTAACACGGGCTCCTACCCTGGAAACCAAGCCCAGCAGGGGAGGGCCAGCCCCTCTAGCCCCCCCACCTTCTGCTTGACTTGCCCCTGCCCTCCAACAGCCCGAGGGCCCAGGCCAGCCAGAAGCAGAGGGACAACGGCTCAACCCTGAAGACAGGCTGAGAGTGCCACTCCAGAGGTGGACTCAGCAGACCCGACACACTCTAAAGAATGCAAGGACAGGACAAACAGGCACAAGGGAATTCTGTATGACAAAAGAACCTGACAACCCCAGCACCCTGAGGGTCAGCCACGCCTGCCAGTCCTATCTCCAGGACACCAACTGCGAGTTCCTATGTGAGAACTGCTAGCACAACACAAGCGACAGTCATGCACTACCAGGTGGCTCCAGTCAACAGTGTGCAACATGTGGCCAGGGCCACGCTGCTTTGGTTCTTTTCTGTTCTGTGGCCCTAAGAACTGAACCCAGGGCCGCACACATGCTAGGCGAGTGCTCTAATGCGAAGCATGCCCCAGTCCTTATTTTATTTTGAGACCGGGCCTTACTAAGTTGCCAGGCTGGCCTTGAACTTGTGGTCTTCCTGCCAGTCCTCCGAGTTGGTAACAGGTACAATTTGGACCCAGTGTCTCACAAAAGTCCATGCGTTGAAGGCTTGACCCCCAGGCATGGCCAGATGGGGAGGTGATGGAACCTTCAGGAGATAGGGCCCAGTGGGAGGAAATGGGCTGATTGGGGTGTCCCCTTGCAGGGGACATGGGGATACCAGTCCTGCCTTCCCTTGCATTCGCTTCACAGCCATCACAAGATAATTCCTCTGCCATGCACTCTTGCCTCCCCATAGTCCCAAAAGCCACAGAGACAAGCAGACAAGGCCTGAATCCTCCAAAACTGTAAGCAAAAACAAACCTTTCCTCTTAAGTGGGTTTATCTCAGATATTTGTTACATAAAAGAAAGCTGACTGCCACAGTGGCTAACCTACCTAGCCTAGGCGTGCAGCAGGCTCTGCCCTCCCAATGGTGTATTGCTCAGAACATGTCTCTCTGTTTAGTGATGTTTGTCAGTACAAGAGAACACCAGCAACAGCTAACTCTGACTGAACAATGGGAAGCCTGGGCCTGTAGCTGAGAGGCAGAGCACCTGCCTAGCATGTTTCAGGCCCTGGGTTCCATCCCAGCACCGCCCAACAAAACAAAATGCAAAGAACACAGGTAATTTTCCTTTTAATTTTATTTGTATTTTTCTAAGATTTCTGTAAGTTTTCATGTTGTATTTTTTTTTTAAAATTAATTTTCAAAAAACTCTTTTATTTGCAGTGCTGGGGATAAAACCCAGGGCCTTATGCATGCTGGGCAAGCACTCCACCACTGTGCTATATCCCCAGCCCTCAAAAGCCTTTAAAAAAAAAAAAGCAGATGAAGGAAATCATTCTGATAAAATTTTTACTTATGGGACATGGCTTTTGCTTTTAGATTCTCCCCTTCTAACATTCCACGGTGAGTGTTGACCCAGAAGTGACAACATCCCCCAGAGCTACAGGACACAGGTCTGGGGGCAGAGAACTCCTAGTGGGCCGGGGTCCTAGCGGGACCCCTGTTGCTGAGAACCCAAAGGAGACCTTCACCAAGGCAGCAGAAGGGCCAGATGTTGACTTACAGAACAAATTAAAACCCTGACCCCATAGCACTTCAGAGATTCCAAAGGACAGCTCACATTGCACCTGTTTCTTGGATGTTCAGAGGACATGGGAAGCACAACCCAACATCAGGGAACACTGAGTAGCAGGCAAAGGCAAGGCTTTCCCCCTCCAAGATCAGAGGCATGAGAGCCGGCAGACCTTTCTCCGACCCTCAGTGAGAACCTGTTAAAGAACCTGGAGGCTACGCTTAGCTGACCAAAGGCAACACACTTTAACTGATCTATCACTTAATGGGAAAAAAAATTAAGAACAATTACCAAAATTCTACATTATGTCTAAAAACCCAATGCCATCAATGTCTCTCAATGATTCCAGAGTCAGCAAGGAGTGCCCTCAGTCTGGACTCCAACTGGGGGAAGAGGGAAAGAGGACTGAAATGGAGTTCATCAAATTCCATGCATGCGTGATTTTGTCAAAATGAACCCAACTACTATAAATAAATATGATGCTTTTAAAATAAATTAAAAAAACCCCAAAACAAAAAAGCAAAAAGAAACTCCTATACATGCCTTATACATTTCATGGAAGGCCAGGTATCCTGCTCTGGTGTGAACCCTTCCCTGCTCCTGCCCAGCCCCCACAGAGCCACTCTGTCACCTGCAAGACAATGCAGCCCTGGATGAAGTCATCAAAGGCAATCTGCCCTCGTCCTTGTCTGTCAAATTTCCGAATGAGGATGTCGTGGAACTGGTCAGAGAGCCGGTAGCCTGGGAGAGGAAAAGTCAGAGTCAAGATGGGCAGACGAGGTAGGAGGAATGCACCAATGCTCATGCCCCCTGCCTACTCGCCAGCCTCCCCACAGCAAAAACTGCCACTCCATTCAATGCACCCTGAGAGCGGAAAGACACTGCCTGACCAATCATTCCAAAACACGTTTAGTTTCCAGGACTACGATGTGACTTACCTAGAGACCAGTGCCCTCTCCCTGTAGGACAACCTATTGCTCTCCTGAGCACAAGCATCTACTGGCTAACTGCACCCTCCCCACAGGGCAGCCAGGCATGGCAACCCGAGCCCCTGGAGCACCTCACTAGTCTGCCAATCTACCGAAGCCCCGAAGGACGTGCTGCCCTGGCTGCTTATTACCAGAGAGCGCTCCGAGAGCTAGAATACCACAGAGGGTTCCAGTGAAACAAATGAAGACATGAGGAAAGGGGAATGACAGGGCACACGACATCCGGGAACTGAGGACACAAGGAAAGTCGGCCTCACCAAGTTCAAAATCCCCAGGGTCACTGAGCCCTGATTCCTCTCCAATTTACTGAGCACGTTTGGAGAAGGTCTCCAGTGGAGAGAGGGTCTGAAGGAAAGCGGAGGAACCAGATGTAGACGGAGGCACAGGAGGACACAGCTCACATCCTTCCTTCTTCACCCCCTACTACCTGCAGCTCACCTGATTCCTTCCCTCACCCCCCACTACCTGTGTGGCCATGGTATCCTTACTGATTCAGGAGACAAGATCCAGGTGCCAATATATTTTTACCGGTTTTCAGTCTTGTTGGGGTCTTTGCAAGGATATGCACACCTATTGTCTGATTGAATCTCACAGTTAATTACCTGTATGAACACTTATTCATCATTTCACTATAAAGACTCAAAACACACAAACATGTTCATAGTACCTTCCAGAGCACTCAGGGGGAGCTGGGATTTAAGTACAGGACCACTAAATGAGTCCCTGCAGGTTGAGTGGGACCCCCAACTGTCATCAGAAAGAGAGCAAGTAGGGAACAGTTGCACTCATCTCCTTACACCTATCAATTACCTGGCAGGTGAGGCAGCACCCCTGGCTGAGCCCTGACCTGATGAGGATGGAGCCCAGAACACGGCCACAGGGCACTGCGGATCCACGGTGTGGATGGGGTGACAAGAGCCATTGCTGATTTCCTGCCAGGGCTGGGGAAGGCCAATGAGATGGGAACAAAGATACAGAATTTGCAGTCTGAACACTGAATTTCCAGAAACAACTCCACAGATCCTGGAATCAACTCCAGGTCTCTGGCACTCTTGCAGGGAAAGCAAGAACAGAGAAAGATGGGAAGAGCAAGCAATGAACAGAATGACCAGGAAAAAAGGCTCAACTGGAGGACAAACCTGGTTGTGTGGGAGCCAGGAGGCACTCTGCACATGGCCACCACCCAGTCAGGCCTGGCCAGCAAGACGTGGGGGCAAGGGCCACCTTGCAGACCCAGCTGCCCACCTGGGGAGTACCTTCTCTCCACAGGATGAGGGCTGACTCTGGAAATACTGCTCTTGAACCAAACAGCTCTGACTGCAACATACATCATCCATTCCGGTTCCAGCTAAGCTGCCCCTACCCAAAAGGGCAAGGTCACCTGAGGCTTCCCAGCCTGTGAGAAGCAGCAGGAGGACAATTCCATACCAGCGGGGCACACCACTGGGAAGTGTGGACCCTCTCTGGACAGACCAGGTGAAGCAGGGGCTGCGGGGTCTGAGTGAGGCAGTCCTTCTCACCTCTGCCAAGCCCACTCTCCTAGAGCCCCCAAGGCAATAGTGGCCTCCTGGAGAGGGGATAGGAATACGCCTCCTGTGTCTACTTCCAAATAGCCATTGGTGATGCAGCAACCCAGGAACTAACATGAGGAAGATACCACCAGAAACTGCCCAGGGGACACTCCTGGTCCAGGCCATGCAGCCTGTGGGTCAGATGGTCAGCACCAGTCCAGAGTCCCCTGCCCATCATCAGCCCCACCACCAGGAATAGCACGGCACCACTGCAGTCACAACATGACCTGGGAGAAACTGGACAGACAGCAGTGATCACCAGTGGACAAGGAAATAGGAGGAAAGTTAAACCATCGGTGGCCAGTATGGCACCAACCAGACGACGCCATGAGAAAGGAGATGGGGCTGCTGGTCAGGCACAACGGTCGTAAAAACGCTGTTAACCTCGTAAGATGCACTGCTCACACTGACCTCCTAGGCAGGTATCCACCTACTCCAGCTGCAGAACGAGGGATGCAGGGGACACGAGCCTCAGACTTGTGCAAACAAGATGACCATGTTCCTTTTCATGGAAGACAAGGGGGGACAACCCTGGAAAACCAGAAACCAAACTCAAGAAGAAATCTGGCAGGACCACCAGAAAGGTACTACACAAGACACTGCTCCTCCAGAAAGCACCCGGGAAGCCAGAGGACTCTGGGTCTGCCTCTGAGGCAGCCTGTGCTCCTGACCAGCCACACCCTCACCACGACTACAGAAACAGAGGTTCTAAAGCATCCTTGGCTTGAACAGGTCACAGTGAGTCTGAGAGGCTGAGGAGCACCATTCACATCAATTTTTCCACTGAGTTCCAATGACCCAGTGGTCACTGTGCTGAGCACAAGCTCCAAGGCCTCTAGATGTGGGGCAGGCTGACATTCTGTGGTACTGAGACTGCACATGGGCCAGCTTTGTCCCCAGCGCCATACGGCACTTGCCCCACTGGGCTGTGCTGGGCCTCCTGTGCCTTCAGTGGCGCTCTCTAAGCCATGCGGCCACTCTGCCTGGAGACCCTTCTTCCAACACGCCAGGAGACAGGCCAGCCAGGACTTCACCAGGCCCCCACACAAAGATGCAACAAGATTGTGTGTATCCCAAATTCTAACCCAGAGCTGTCCTGTCCAAATCCTGCCTCACAACCCGTGAGTTCTCAATCTTTCCTAAAATCAGCCCTGTGGACAAGTTCATGAGGTGAGAAGGGAGAGGGGGAGGAGATGGCCATGAGCCACATGCTGGGAGAAGAAGTGGGGAGAGGTGCAAGAGCTATGTTAGCAACCACAGGAAATACCGAACTTGAGCATCACAAGACTCCAACGGCACAGCACTGTGGACTGTGGTCTAATCTTTCACATTTTTCCTAAAGAGCACTTGTAAGTGAGCACAGAAGAGTTTGGTAACACAGACCAGATGATGACAGCACTAAGCAAAATTGCTCTAGATAATTCTAGGTGGAACTATGAGCAGCTGTGGGCTGGTCCCAAACAGCTTGGTGTTTTCTTTGTAAGTAAAAATCGCAGCTTCCTTTCAGGCCCAAGATCAGTTCTGGAACCCTTGGGTGAGCTCTGGACAAGTACTCTGAACACTCAAGAGTTAAGCATGGCATGCTGTCACATACCTGCACACAACATGTGTGCACATGTGGACACATGCCACATAGACACACAGCGCGTTTGAGAATGGGCATGTGCTCTAACTCTCCATTGAGGCACAGTTTGGAAGGACTGAGAGTTAGAGCTGATAACTTACAGAATTGCCTCTTAGGGTCATTTTATCACTGTGTGTTTTGATGCATCAGGAAGCATAAACTGTCCCACACCACTTTATCACTTCCACTTGAAATTGTTTCAAAAGCCCCATTCTCAATTTTGTTCATCAAATCACCCCATAGGAAAAAAACCTGAAGGTTTGCATAGCCTTATCTCATTTTGGATGAAAAACTGAACAAAAGACTACACGTCAAATATATACAATAAATACTATCAAAATATGACACTGTACAATGTAACATAAACAGAAATTTCACATGGACTGGGTTAAAAATCTGTAAGTTGAACAAAGTAAAATAAAATTCAGGGGCTCCTAGGTTCCAAAATGAAATATGCTACACAATCAAGACAAGTGAATTACCAAAACCTGAGAGTGCTTGCTTGAGCTCGTTCTTGTCGATCATTCCAGAGTTGTCCCTGTCATAGGTGCGGAAGACATTCTGCCAGTCTGTGATGTACTTCCACACGCCTGTGAACTCGCTGAAGTTCACGCCAGCCTTGTTCTCCCGGTCAAACATAGCTACGGCAGAGGGACAGAGTATCAGTGCTGAGACAGAGGAACAGTGTCAGGCAGGTCTCTGAGCTGTCCTTCAGAACGCCAGCGTGGGGCCAGCCTGCAGATCACTGTGTGCTAGCTCACAAACAGGACTTGGCTGAATGGGGCCCTGCCTGGTGGAGGCCTAGGGGACAGTCACCCAGCCCTGGTCCCAGAATAATAATACGCAGACACAGCTGTGTGGCAGACAGTGGGTGGAATCACAGTAAAAGTCAAAACGACACTTTCCACTGAAGTAGGCTCTGGAAAGCAGACTTTCTGCTTGTGCTCGCCTCACCTGAGGTCACCAAGGTGCAGAGGTCCAGGAGCCCCTGCTCCTGACTCCCAGTCCCAAAAGACGGTAAACTTTGCACCCCTCAGGAGCTAGAAACAGTCCTCCAGGGACAAGGGGAATCTATTCCAGTTAAAAAGAGACCTAGCCTACTCTCCCATTAGGATTTAATTTTTTAAAAAAATAAGTCCACATTTTTCATTAAAAAAAAAAAAAAATCAGTGTAATTCCAGGTCCAGATAATAAGAATCATTGAATACAACTACATGTTACTGCAAAATGGCTAACAAATAAAACAAGTCAGTCTGAAGTGCTGCTATAGAGAAGATGATAAAATTGCCTGTTGTTTTAGGAGACTAAGGCCAGACTATAGGAAGAATGCTCCGGGATCATATAGAAGTCCATTCAGGTCAGTAGCACATCCCATCATCAAAGAACATGTGAGGACTGAGCATTCAGATTCCTCCACACAGCGCAGGAGCATGTTTGTAACGATGGGCTGTTTTCAACATCACCGCCTCAAGCGTGGACTGCACAGAGGTGTGGTAGCGACATGCTGGTGCGTGCCACTCCAGCCTGCTTCTGTACCTGGCAATGCCAACGAAAGCCACCCAGCGGAGGCTGAGCAGAATAGCAGCTTCCAGGCCAGCCTCTGGCAGGGAGGTGCACATGCCCATCCCTGCTCCATCGGCATCTTTCCTGGTGCGGAAGGCTGCATCCCTGCCAGCATACCCGTGCGTTACCTCAATGTCTTTACCCACAGCAAGATGCAGTGCCTGTGGCTTACACCACGCACCCTGCAATACAGCACTAAGCTCACAGACAGAGAGGAACCCAGAAGGAGAGGCACAGGACCCAAGGTTCCACGTCAAAGGCAACCAGGAAGGGAACTACATCTTTGGAAGAGTAGAATAGAGAAAAAAATCATCTCTCAGAACAGGAAATCTTCTCCAGAAACTGGTGAACAGTGAACTTTCCCTGAGACTGTGTGACAGTGAACCCTTCCCTCTTGGATCTGGAGCTCAAGTTCCTGCTACTTCTGTAGCAAGGGAGACTCAAACTGAGAAACCCACACCTTGGCTGCAGAAATATGAATTTTTTTCTGGAGGATGTATTCCCAGATCAAGCTTGGTTTACACACATTGAGTTCAGCCACATACGAACCCACAAAGCAAATAAAAATACTAAAATACTAAGGAAATTAGCCATGCATGAGGTTCAGCAGGAATAACAGTCAGACATGGATCACCTTCTCAAGGATTCAGGAGTGTCAGGAACACATGGTGAAGTAGACAAGTTTAACAAGTAACCCCCTCTCACAGTGCTGGGGACTGAACCCAGGGCCTTGAGCATGCCAAGTAAGTATTCTACCACTGGGCTTCACCCCCAACCCTTTTTATAGTTAAGCCAAGTCTTGCAAACTTGTCCAGGCTGGCCTCAAAACTTGCAATCCTCCTGCTTCAGTCTCTTGAGCAGCTGGAGTTATAGATGTGTGCTACCATGCCTGGCAAATACTTAATTCTCCAATAAAAACATTTATTTAAAATGTAAGAGACCATAACATACAATATTCAAAGAAATAAAAGAGAGAATCATAAAAACCAGCAATAAGAGACTATCAAAATTAACTATTAATAACTATATAATAACTTTAAAAATTCATTATAATAAAAATTTAACTATATAATAACTTTAAATTTTTTTTTAAGAGAGACAGAGAAAGAGAGAGAATTTTTATTTATTTTTTAGTTTTTCGGTGGACACAACATCTTTGTTTGTATGTGGTGCTGAGGATCGAACCTGGGCTGCACGCATGCCAGGCAAGTGCGCTACCGCTTGAGCCACATCCCCAGCCCAATAACTTTAAAAATTTTATACACATACTACTTTTAGAATTCAAAAATTGAAAATGCCAGTTAAACCGTAAATTAAAACCAAAAACTGCGAAAGCTGTATACACAGAGGTGAGAAGTCCAGAGGCAGGATGTGGCATAAACAAGGGCCAGCACCTCCTGAGTAGACTCCAGAAAGCACAAGCTTATCTAGGCAGTTCCCAGGGGAGCTTGTCTGTAATACTTACAAATGATTGACCTGACAGTCACTGGGTTAAACGGGGTCCATGTGCCTGCAAACAAACATAGCAACAATTAAACCAGTGCATTCCCCCTACCCCTAAAGAAGCTCTCAGCAGGAGCCTGGCTTCAGGAGCACCATAAGATCTTCCCGTGGTCACAACTAGGAGGAGCCCAAGCCCTGAGTGGGCAATATCCCATGTCCTGCCAGACATGCAAGCTATTTATGACCACCAAGCTGGACGCTAACTCTCTGAAGTTCTGGCTGAGAGTGTTTCTGGGGATCATAGACACAGCTGACCAACTCTCTAAGATAAGACACATGGTCACAGCTTCTTACGCAGAGGAGACACAGTAAAAGTAGCAAGGGAAAAGTGGATGGGAAACCAGATGTGAGCCTCCAGAGTCTAGCCAGAGCCTGCTCAACTGCACCTGAGAGCTGCCACAGGGCCACTGTCAAGGACACTGTCCAGGGCACTTCATCTTTCTCCAAGGAGACAGAATTAACAAGTAGTTCCATTATGATCTACTTGGAAGTCTGCAAAGAGATTGTCTTAAATATACGACAATAATTAATTCTGACCATCCTGGATGAGTCTAAAAGAGAAAATCCCATTAAAAAATTTTATACCCAGATCAGATATATTTGAATACATGAATAGGCCTCCACACACTGGGTTACAGAATAAGGTCCTTGGGTAAATATTTGAGTAGAAAAACTGGTGGTAAAAAACATGAAAATTCTGTTCAACATGAACAGAACATACTCCTGGGGGTTCAGGGCTTACCTGGGGCCAGTCACTGAGCTCCATTTGCCTAGAGACAAAAGCAGGTGTTTGCCACAAATCGCAACCTGGTACAAACCACCCAGGCCAAGAGGCACAGCTCAGTTCACAGATCTTGGCAAGACAAAGCACTCTTCCCAAACATTCTAGGAGCTCAGTTCCCAGGAGACAGATGAGGGCCAGTCACCCAACAGGCTCTTCTTAGGAACATGGGTAGCCTGTCTGCTGAGCTGACCCTACCTACCCAGGGATCAAAGCACAGGTAGACCTCTGTTCCATCACCCATGAAATGGGACCTCTGTTGGAGAAGAACGGTGATGTGAATGGATAATTATTCTATAGGAAATTGCTGCTTGTATGGTCTAAATTATCTCAATTCTTTTAGGATGAACTAGAAAGCTATTTGGTAAAATGTCCTTAAAAGAAGGTAAGTATTTTTTTTTCTTTCAAGTAGTTAAAAAGTGCTCCTTCAAATTATAACAATGTCATATTAAGACAAACTTACTTCAAAAGCACAAAAAATGGGCTTGAGAAAAATTCATTTCTCATTATCCCAAGAAATAATGTGGAAATAAAAAATAAAAAACACATACTACCCTCAGGACAGTCTGCGGCAAGCTGTTTCACAGGGCCAGAGAACACCTGCTCTGTGCTGCTGCATGCCCCATGGCCACAGCCCTCCCTGCGGTAGCCCTTGCAGCAGCTCTGTTGTCCATCACCACTGGAGCTGGCTCCTAAGCCAATAGTGGCAGCAGAGACACAGCCACTGTCCTGCGGTGGCACCCATCGACACTCTAGCTGGCTCTTGTCTCCAACCATGAGGGAGGCACTTTGACTGTATTTCCTCGATTTGCTCTCCCAGAGGCTGTGAGGACACTGACGCTGGCAGGTTAAATACTTGTTCAACTTCACACTACTGAAACAGGGAGAGCAGGATGTGGATCCAGGCAGCACCAGGGCCCAACTGAGCCCTCCAGGGTAGACAGGCTGTCCTGCTAGTGAGGGTGAACAACACCTGTGAAAGGTTCACACAAGACACAAGATCTAAAGTGATCTTGTATCTTGGTCAGTATTCTGGAACAGACAAACAAAGAGACACAAAAGAGACCATAAACCTTTACCAGTCCTGGTAAAGAGGCCACAAAAAGTGTCGTCTCTGATGCACGCCTCAATAGGGCTCATATGGCCTTCCACCACACATGCACAGCATGTTGTGAAGAAAACCATCCATTCCTCACTTGGAAAGTCTGAGGCCAAGATGTGCTAAAGTGTGGCCTGCTAGATAGCAGATGCTCTTGAGGCCTTTCTAGTAGTAACCCTGCCTTGCTTCTCCTCAGAGTAGAAGGAGCACTGGAGACATCAAACACAGTTGAAAGGGGTTAATGATGACCAGAGAAGAGAAAAATCAATAAGCACAATAGTCAGGGCAGAGATAATGCAATCCGGCTGCCCAAACAATCTAAATAAACGTGTGTGAAATGATAACCTAGTGCCTGAGGTCCACATAGGCTGGATGCAGGGGAATGGTGTCTATGGCATCTGCCATTCTGAGGTAAGTGTGTCACGCTGAAACCCATGTTCTCAGAAATGAACACTAAATACCGGACACATGCCAGTGGCAAGAGCTTCTCCTCAATGCTGCCAGGCAGTGTCCAGCAGCCTAGTGTTGCCCACTCCCTCATCCAACCAACTACAACACTGAAGTGCTTCCTACTAACAAAGCCAGACCTTTTGACATTTTTGTCACACCTTAAAACTGTCCCTTTACCCAGCTTAAATTACATGCCTCTGGAAAGACAAGTGTGTTAGTTACCAGTGACCAAAACACCTACCAGGAAGAACAACTTAGGGGAGGAAAGGTTTATTTTGGCTGAAAGTTTCAGAGGTTTATAATCCATGGTTGACTGACTCCATTGCTATGGGTCTGAGATGAGGCAGAGTATCATGTGAAAATGCATGGTGGAGAAAAGCCGCTCAGCTCATAGCAGAGGGGAAGCAAAGAGAGAGAGGAAAGGGTCAGGGACAGATGTGGGGAAGGGCATAACACCAGCACCCTATTTCCTTCAGCTACACCCCACCTGCCTATAGTTTTTACCATCACCCAGGAATCCATTCCAATTATTAATTCATCACATGGATTAATGCATTGATGAGGTCACAGCCTTCATGATCCAATCATTGCACCTCTGAACATTTGCTGCACTAACACATAAGCTTTTGGGGGACATTCCAAATCTAAACCATAACAGCAAGCCTTAACTATATTAATCAGAAAAGTTGGCCGTATCTGAGGAATTATGAAAGGCAGTTAACAAAGAAAAATGCCTCCAAAGCTACCACACTTCAGCCATCAAGAATGACTCCACAGAGTTCCCAACACACCCTATACAAGGGCCACCATCCTCCCAGCCCCTAAATGCATAGTATTCCCCACACAGTTAAGAACATCTGGCATGATTCTGCTGCCAATGCCTCCAATTTCTTCACTTCCCAATTTGGACCTAGAGTTTCAGCAATTCCTAAGCAAAAGTGCTATGTAGACCATCTCCAAATTCTTCAATAATTACCTAGTACTCTCGATGACCCTTTCCAGAGGAGTCACTAAGATTCTGAGAACATTCAAGGACCTTCAAGACACCTGAAGGATTTCTGTTGCACAAAGCTACACTTCCCACCCCTCACTCAGAAGCAACAGAAACCCTGTCTCTATGCTCCCCTGCATCAACTCGATGGTGTGCGGAGCAGAAGCAGTGATGAAAACCAGGAAGCCACCAACCGGCAAGTCAGAAACACCTCTTCCATGTATAGGTTATAGTAATTTAGTCTGAATGACTCCTCTGTACTTGGAAAAATAAATTCCAGAAGGGAAATTGCTTACTGTGAGAGGATCAGGCTTCGACTCACCATTGGATAGCGCCTGCTGAAGCTCACTGTCCGATATCACCCCACTCCTGTCTTTATCAACTCTACAAAATCAAGAAGACCAGGAAAGTTGGTGATGAAATGTGCAGGAAAAGCAAAATATGGCAGAAACAAACTATCTGTCCCATTACTTTACATCAGTTCTGGGACATTCCTCAGGTAGACCTTTCACTTGGCTGTCAGAATGTCACATACCACATGCCCGCGGGGGATTAAGAAATTTTCCCCAAGACCCTAAGTGTCAGGCCTCCGGGTCTGAATTCACACCTGCACCAGTTTGTCTTTCACAAACGCTGAAAGATTCTCTGGGGCAGTCAAATCATTCCTAGGCAATGAGTCACTCGAATTACGGTCATTTGTTCAAAAGGACAGCTGGGACTTAGGACGCTGCCAACCGTCACCTGCTCCAGGGACGCAGGTCTACCTGCCCTTGCTGGGCTGCTACCCTCTTCCACAGCGCAGGGTCTGGCCTGTTACTGCCTTCCTTGAACCGAGCAGGAGCCGCCCTGCGCCCTCTGCTCTGCATCTCGTGACGGGCCCAGCGCACCCGGAGGGGCGAGGAGGGAGCGGGGCCGGGGAGGAGGCGAAGGAGGAGGGGGTGACAGGAGAGGAGCCCGGGTAGGTCGAGGGAGGAGGGCGAGGAAGGTGAGGGAGGAGGCTGAAGAACGAAGCCCGGGCGGCCCCGTCTCACCGCTGGAAGACGTTCCACAGGAAGCTCTGGTCCGGCAACGCCGCGCCCGCAGCTGGGCCCGGGCCGGAACCCGGGCCAGGGCGATAGGAGTAGGCGGCCATGGACCCTGGAACCCGCGGCAACGCGGCAAGACTCGGGCGGCTCCACTTCCGCCTCTGCTGGGGGCGGAGCCTGGCGCCCACGCCGCGCACGACACTTCCGGGAGTGCCGGAAGTGTCGTTCCTCGGGTCCTGTGTCCCAACGCGACCAATCCTTCGCGACCCCCGTTGCCAGGCAACGCCGGGGCGTCCGCCCAGCCGGACCCGGGCTTCCGGAGCGCGCTCGGACCCGGGATGGGAGGTGATGCCCAAGGGCTTCTGTTGAGTTGATGACATCACGTTGAGAGAGAGAAAAGGGTGAACGCGAAAACCAAGGACGCCAACGCTGAAAGCTCAGGAGGGAAGGATACAAATTTCCACGTACTCGCGCTTTTCAGTTCCACCGCCCCCTTCCGGAGGTTGGTGAAGCGTGAGCCTCCGCCTTTGCACAGGTGACTTCAGCTAGCCGGAAAGGCAGCGGAGGAGTCCGGGGTCTCGGAGAGAAGAGCATCAAGGTCTCCCTTGACCCGCGCCTCCTAGACTGCGTCCTTAAACACAAGACAAGGGGCCTTCTCTCTGGGTACTAACTCTGCAGTGCAGCTTAAAGTGTGCCTTTAGCATGAATTTCCATATTGGGAAATGCGCAGTTTGGGGGTCACTCTCCTGGGTCCTTCCTGCTTATGCCGTCAGACGAACCTCCCACCCAGGCCTGTGTCTTATGCAGTTCAGGGTCTAAATGAACTCCTTTCATAGGACCACCCAGCTCTTCAATTCCTGATCCAGCGAATGGGAGCATTCGTCCCTCGGAGATGGTAAGCTTTCCTCGTGGGCTTTTACCTCACTTGCAAGGACAAGGCCTTTTATTGTCACCTGAGACTTAATCCCTGTGGACCTTGATCCATTATTCAGCACACAGGGCACAGGTATAGATCCCATCAGCTTCCACACTGTCGTCCTGTCCTATTTGCCTTTTGCCTTTCTCGCTTGTTTACAAGGCATCTATTGAGACATTTTTTCAAATACTTAAAATAAATTAGCCTATCCTGTGGCTTTGGCATTCACCTTAACCGGCAAGTGAGGGTTTCCCCCCCCCCCCCATCATTTACTGAATTCAAGTGGCTTCTAATTTTCTCTTCTGAAATATATATTTATCCTCTCCCCCATATCTCGGCCTCCCTTTCTCTTCTCGAAACACTAACAACTAAAATTTTGTGGCTGAATGTGTTTTCCAGCAGCAATCCTCAGCCCCACCCAGCAGGTTCCTGGCTTCACCAGCCTGGAGTGCCACAACTACAGTCTTCCATCCTAAGAGGCACAAAGGAGTGCTGTTCTGCAGTCTGGGTAGTTCATCCATTCAAGGGAAAGCAGATGCTGAGAAGAGGCTCACATCACTTTGTCTTCACCCTGGCCCACACTTCACCTGAGAAAAGTATGGCTGAGAAGTTACTGGCTTGCCCAAGGCCAAACAAGCAAAAGAGGAGGTTCAAGGCCAGATTCTCTGTACTTTTCTGGTATCTCTCAGCAGCAGCAAGGCAAGGCTGACTGAGAAGGGAAGTTAACCAGGAAGAAATTAAGGATTAAAGACATGTTCCCATATAAATGCACAAAGGATGCATCGTTCAGGACAGAGATGTTGCCCTGACACATTCACAAAGGAACTGTGCTGAGTCACACCAGCCCTTGGGCTGAGCTGCTCTAAGCTACTATGCCTTACAAGTCCTCTCCACAGTCCCTGTGACTTGGAGGTGGGGTGTTGCCATAAAGGTTGGGCACTACCCAAGCCCTCTGCAACAGTAAGAGGCAGGCCATTTCCTCAGGTGCAGACACCTATCTCCTCACCTATCTCGGATTCAATTCCTCCTAACCAGGTCTGGTCTAAACTTTCCAGAAGTCAAGAAATTAAACGAGAGATAACACTCTCCTTACATTAATGATAATCATGTCATGTACCCAGATATTTTGGGTCTTTGGCCTAATTTTTCTTTTTTGGTACTGGAGACTGAACCCAAGGGCCCTTTACCACATCCCCAGTCCTATTTATTGAGACATGGTCATGCTAAGTTGCCGAGGCTGGCTGGACCTTGTGGTACTGATTCAGCCTCCTCAGTCACTATGTTTACAGGTGCACACCCCCCACAGTTGGCTGACCTAATTTCTGTAAGCTGGTTAGAACATGCCTCATTTTCCTTAAGGTTCTGGGTTTCTGAGGTTTTCTACAATGCACCTGCTTGTTCACCTTGGCTTTGGCACAGCGGGCCCTCAAATGAGTGGACACCAAGTAGTTATGTGCCCTTTGTCTTTATACGTGAGGACATCCATGCACACACATTTATGTACATTTAACAAGTGGCTCTAAGCCACTTTAGCTCATTTTCTTACTCAGGTTCTCTAATAGCTGGATTGTGACACTGCACACTGATGATACTCCCCTTGCCCCCCTTATAGCCTCTGGCTGTAGATTCTAGGGATAGAACTGAATGTGCTCAGTACCCCCTTCCTCTCTCAGGATGACACTTTCTCCCATGGCTTCAGTCATTATTCTTTCAGAATTCAGTATGAAAGAGAACTACCTAGCACTTTATTTTACTTAGGCTTTTGATGCTTAACCTGTTCCACAAAGGCTCCAGTGCACTTCCTTGCTCTGTCTTGGAATACGGTTCTGGGTTCATCTGGCACCATTTCTAGTCCTTACTCAGGAAGCGGCACTGGTTCCTTTTAGTGGCGAATGATACTAGAGACCACAATCCAGATACTGTCCACTGCTCCTGGGGCATAACTAGGAAATGTGGATTTCTTTAAATGAATAAGGATGAATTCATACCTAGATTTCCTATACTTTGAACTACAGATTTTTATAAATTAATTCTTGGATTTTATTGTCTTTTTCTCAGGAAAAAATTAGTTTTAACATTAAGATAGTTATTAGCTTTAATCCACACTGCACATAATTTCAAAGGATTCATTCCGATAAAACTAGTAATAAGATTACTGAATGGAATTTAGGATTACTTAGCGGCTTCACTTGTTTTTAAACTATAGCGCTGTAGTTCATTAAATCTATACAGCGTGCCATGTTCTAACATCGCTGTCAAGATGCGGGAGGGCTGCACACTGCTAATGCCATGAGGTCAGCCAGGCCCAGCGCTGCAGCTGCTTGAGGACAGGCTCTGGGGTGGCAGCACCTGGGTACAGGCTGGACCCCTGAAACCTGGTGCCCAAAGTGAGAACCAGCTCTGCAACACACCAGTGCTTCCCCTGCCTCATACCTCCTATTTTTCAACTGCTTCTCCAGATCACTTCTAAATTCTTTTTTTTTTTTTAGTATTTATTTTTTAGTTTTAGTGAGGATTGAACCCAGGGCTTTTGCACGTGCTAGGCAAGCACTCAGCTGCTAAGCCAAACCCCAGCCCCTCCAAATTCTTGTCTTTGGCATGGCTTCTGTGAATCCAATTCAAGGCAGTTCAGTTCATTCATCTCAGTCTAAACAATTATCTGTATATACTTTGGATTACAGATTTTTATAAATTAATTCTTGTCTTTTTCTCAGGAAAAAATTAGTTTTAACATTAACATAGTTATTAGCTTTAATCCACACTGCATATAATTTCAAAGGATTAATATCGATAAAACTAGTAATGAGATTACTGAATGGAATTTAGGATTACTTAGTGGCCTCACTTGTTTTTAAACTATAGTGCTATAGTTCATTAAATCTGTATAGCATGCTGTATTCTAACATCGTGTTCTAACACTGTGTTCAAACATTTACATATTTGGAAATATGTAAAACATTATTTGGTCCCACTTCTAGCCCTGCCCCTGCATGGCCTCATCCTTCACTTTACTTTTAAGGTATCTTAAGGGAAAAATAAATAAAAAAGGTGAGCAGATCTGTATTTGCTTCCTATTAAACAGGGCTCCCTTTCCTTTCCTTCTCACAGCTGCACACCTGCTGCACTCTGGGATAAATATACCTTCCATTAGAAATGGGCATTTTGCTGTTTCTAGTTTTAAGAATGCCACCACGAAGGATTGTGCAGTCTTTTCATTTCATTTCTCCTTTAAGTAGAACTGCTGTTTCACTGACTCAGCAAGTAAACATACATGCAGTTTTATTCTCTTCCATGACTGTAAGGTTCTGCCTTCCCACCAGCAATGCTTGGATCCTTGCATCCCACCACTTCACAGGAAACATTAAGAAGGCAAACATATGGGTGTTTGCCATTCACAGAGATGAGAAATTTTACCTCAATATAGCCTTTTATTTTTGGTCAGCCTTTTTATCAGCTTTATTGAGGTATAATTAGCAGAAGATAATGAACATATTCACCACTCACGTTTCCTTTGCCCATCCCACATCTACAGGCAACCACTGGGCTGCTTCCTGCCAAGATACTAGTTTGCATTCTCCAGACTTCCGCCCATGGAATCACACAGTATGTACTCTCCCAGCTGCTCCTCCCAGGAGAGATGACTGGGACTCATCCACACTGCCGTGCATACCAACAGCTCACTTCTTAACACTGAGCACAATACAATGGCCCTTTTTCTGGAGGTGAGGAGACGGCTCCATTATGTAACCAACTCCTAGGTCATTTTCAGTGGCTAGATTTCCACTAACTTTCTGCTTTTATGTTTTATGGTCAAGAACCTAAAGAGACACTAACTCCATTCTATATCCAAACTTTTCTACTGAATTGTCCACCCTATTATTCAGTTTTTATTTTCTATTACACCCTAACATTCTCCAAAGTCTAGCTTAGTGTCTGACACAAAGAATAAATAAGGAATTCAACACGTAGTTACTGGGCACTGGACATGGGAAGAAGACATACTGTGCATCTTTAATGTGACTCCATGAGGGCAGAGGACATGCGGGTCCCCACATCTACTGCCCTATAGGACACGACTTCAAAGACAAGGTGAACCCAGTGCTGCCTTGCTTGCCTTATGAAATGCTTCTTATCAAAAGGACACTTTAGAAACAAAATCAGATTACTTTTTAGGGAAGAATTTTATAAAGAATGGATTCATATTTAAAATGAGTTGTACCTTTAAAGAGAACAGATTTAAACGGAAACCCATTTACTCCATCAGTCTCATTCATTCAGGGTTTAGTCGCTCCAATTCTTCACAAGTTCACCTCCTGAACCACTGGACAAGAACAAGGAGAAGTTTTCTTCCTTTGCTGTCAGGAATGAAAATTCTTCTTTACTTAAGAATACACAACAGAATTTCTGGATTTTGATGTGACAGAATAATAAGATAATTACATTTGCTAAATTATATATGCCTACAGCCAAACAGTACAGGTTTTAAATGGATTTGGAAATATAAGAAGGGTTGCTCATTTTGTTTTGATTGTGCCCAGGATGATAAAGCAAGGGATAAAGACAGGCAAAGCTGTCCCCCATGCTGAGTCCTTACAAGCTGCTAGCCAGGGGACTGATGACATCTGCGAAGCGTATTGCTTGTTCACGAGCACAGAATCTACCATCTACCGAGACAGGTTCAACAGGAGCAGCTGCGCAAGCTGTGACACATGGAGACAGAAGCCACCTCTGCGACCCTAGGTTCAGTCAGTAGGAGCGAATGGCAGGGGGAACAGTGGCGCAGTCAGCCTCATTCAAAGTCTTGTCAATGACAGGTCTGTACTCCAGAGTGACCTTGAAGAGAAAGATCAGGGCAGGTAGAGCAAGATCCACAGATAGCCATCCCCTCTGTTTTTTCTACTTGAAAATGAGCCTTTATATACATAAATATGTACCCAAGGAAAAGTATATACACCCTTACATAACACTTGGAAAGTATTTCAAAATAATGGATTATCTCTGATGGATGTAAATGTTTCATTCTTTTTATAATTTCTAGACTTTCTAAAATGAGTATTTTATAATGAAAAAAAAGCCAACATTATTAAAAATAGGCTTATGCTGAAAGACGGCCAACTTCTGAATTAAAGACACATTAGGTTTCTATATAAGTAACAACAGACTTCACCTTAATTTCTGGAGGCCCAGATAAATGATTATAAAACTCTTAGAAGCAATGAAAAGCTTAAAGATAAAAATTACTTAATTATTTCCAAATCTTTTTTTGTTTGTTTGTACTAGGGATCAAACCCAGAGCCTTTACCATTTAGTCACATCCCTAGTTTTATTTTTGAGTCAGGGCCTCACTGAGTTGCTAAGGCTGGCCTAGAATTCAAATCCTCCTTCCTCATTCCTCAGTCTCCTGAGTGGCTGGGATTGTTGGCATGTGTCAATGCACTGGCCTATTTCTAAACCCTAAAACCCAGGGAAATGTCGAAAGGGCAGGTATGCATCAGTAGAACAAGACCTCAGCCGGGGTCTCCTGACCTGCTGCCTCTCTGCATGCTGTAGGGGGATGGGGGATGCAAAGGATGCTACCACATCTCCCAGGCTCCTCTGCAGCTGCTGGCAGGTAGGCTGGGCCATGGGAACAGAATGGGAGGAGTCTCTCCTGACCCCTGAGCTCCAGAGGAGTTTCTGGTAGTGGCTGGGTCCCCATCTCTGCAGAGTCACCATCTCTTCCTTGCCCTGGCCCACACAAGGGAGCTGACCTTGTATCAAGTCTCCCTGAGCCAGCACAGGGAGAAGCCTGATTCAGTGTCCTTACAGTGGTGCCTCAGATATGCCAACAGTGGCCTCTCTCAGCTAGTTACCACCAAGGACATCCCTGAGCAGATGTAGCCCACATACCTTTCCAGTCTTGATGTCCACGTATGAAAGAGTGTGCTTCCTCCAATGCTCCCTGAATGGCTTCTTCTGCTGCCCCTCAATGGGCTTGGAGTAATCATATTCATCAATCCGCACCTGATGCCAGAAGTATATATTACTCACCACTCACAGAGCACTTCGTCAGAAAACCCGGAGAACATTACAATGATGTGAAGAGACCAGTCAGGTGGGGGCACCACTGACAATTTGGGGCCTGCCAAGGGTCAGCATGAGTCCAGTGTCCATTTCTACATCTTCTATGACTTCATAGGTGAATGTTGAGAATTAAATCTCATTTATGCACCTTAAAGTTTATCAAATACTTTCGCTTTTTGCGCTATACCCTGGGAAACTCCAACTTTTCTTTCCACCTTTTTTTTGGTGTGTGGTACCAGGGATTGAGCTCAGGGGCACTCAACCACTGAGCCACATCCCCAGATCTCTTTATTTAGAGACAGGGTTTTGCTGAGTTGCTTAGCGCCTCGCCATTGGTAAGGCTGGCTTTGAACTCACGATCCTCCTGTTTAAGCCTCCCAAGCCACTGGGATTACAGGCATGCCACCACACCCAGTTCTTTCAACCTTTTTAAAATATTTTAACAATTGTGTTAAAAATTTCAAAAGCTCTCAAAGAATAGCGGAATGCTAGTGAAAAAATCCCTGTGTTCTAATAGAGTTGGCTGTTGCTACTGAGGACACATGGTGGGCAAAAGATGAACCTGGGCCAGTGGCCGCAGCAGTCCCTGGGCTCTGCAGATGTTCCCAGGGATGAGCTTTCCCAGTGGGAAGGTTGAGCCTCGCACCTGAAGGCTTGTTCACCTCAGTCCTAAAGCATGCTCTGGAGAAGCTTCCATCCCTTAGGGCACACAGGGGTCATACTGGCCCATCTCTTCCTGCATCCACCTGATCAGTGCAGGATAAATCAGTGAAGCATCACAGTACATGGCAACTTTTGCTTAGCCAATTTTTTTTTGTTCATCCATGTCACCTGCACTCTCCTGAATGAAAGCCTGCATCTTACTCATGGGACCCTGGGGCTAGTGTCTTTTATCCTGCACCTGCACCTAAGCCCCTGATGTTGCCATCATCAGAGCATCCAACATGCATGCTCCACACAGACATCAATCCACTGTCAAAACACAGTACCAGAACCAGATCTGTGATTCCTTTCCCAAGCCTCAGGCACTACATCCATGGACCTGGCTGCCCCTGTGGCCGCCACCCAAGTAAGAAACAGGCTCATTCTGCTCCAACACACTGCCACAGACAGCAATAGATGCTGATTCAAAGCAAGAAAGATCCTGTGTTTCTGAAGGCAGTGAGAACAAAGGTGACAATAATTACCAGGGAAAAACTCATCTTCCTGGATTGACTTTTGGGAAAATGGAGTGAAATGCAGAGGGGAAGGGCATGTGACTGGTGGGGGCCAGAATGACAACAGGGGACAGGACACCAGGCTTGAAGTGCATCCCAAAATCACACCTTGTAATCTTCCCTGGCATGAGCACCACGTGACTCCTTCCGTGCCTCTGCCCCATAGATGGTCTGCAGAGCGCACAGCATCAGGTTTTGCAGCTCTAGTGTCTCCACCAGATCCGTGTTCCAGACCACTCCTGGAGACATACAAGGATCCATTAGAAGTAGACAGGACCCCACCATGTAGATGCTCTGGGCTGTCACTGTGGGCTCATGGCAGAGTTACTGGTCTGACCCTCAGTCACAGGAAAGGCAGAGTCAGCAATAAACAGGACAGACACCACCAGGCTCCACAAAAGGCAAGATCCTAGCTGTGCACCCAGGGCTTACCCCTGTCAAATGTCTTCAAGTGCTTCAGGTCTCCGTAAAGCTGGCTGATCTTCTCACAGCCTTCCTGCAACACGCTTCCCACACGGAACACTGCAGCATGACTCTGCATGGACTGTAACAAGATACCCTTTGTAAGCCAGGCGTGGTGGCTCTGGTTGTAAACTTTTTGTTTTATGGTACTGGAGATGGAACCCTAGGGTGCTCTACCACTGAGCTATACCCTCAGCCCTTTTTACTTTATCATCATCATTACTGTTGGTACTGGGAAATTGAAGTCAGCGGTGCTGTACCACTGAGCTACATCCCAGTCCCTGTTATTTTTTGAGATAGGGTCTGGCTAAGTTTCCCAGGCTGGCCTCCAACTTGATCCTCCTGCCTCAGCCTCCCAAGTTGTTGGGATTACTGATGTGTGTGGCTATGCCATTTTATTTTAATTTGATACAAGGTCCTGATAAACTGCCTGGGCTGACCTCAGTCTTGCAACCCTCCTACCTCTCCATCCTTTAAACCAAGTTTTTAAGTGAATCTTTTGCCCAGACAGTTAGTAATTTTCTTTAGATTAATACATAATCATAAAGTTGTAATGCACACCATCACTTAATGGTTTCTCATAAGACCCCCCACCACTCCAAAATCCTGGAATTTAAACCAAGTTTTTAAGTGAATCTTTTGCCCAGTTACTGTATTTTTATATCATTCTTATTTGTTTTTAAGTTTATTCTCTTGGAATTTTTAGATAATCTTATCTGTAAATGATTATTATTTTGTTAATTCCTTTCCAATATATACCTCAATTCTTGCAGTCTTTTCTGTGACAGCTACAGTTGGCAAGAAAATTACTTCACCTTGGAAATACATATTCCACCTTGGTCTGTTTGCTCAGGGCTAAGTCTGGCATCTGATGGTGTCTGGCACAGAGCAGTAGCCCGGCTAAGCCTTGCTTGGTGGGTACCTCTAGTGTCTCCTTGTCAAAGCACCTGCCTCACGGGCATGCAGTTTCCACACCCAACGCGGGTTGCGCTGGCTTACACCCTAACACTGCAACTGCCAGGCCCTGCAGGGCATAACCTGGCCACCTGGCCTTCCTCCTGCCAACCTGTCTCTCCTTAAGACAGAAAACAGTCCTAAGAAGAATGGTAAGTAACATTCTCTTAGTGTTGTCTGTGTCTGTCACTGGACCCCTTTCAGACAGGACCCAAGGAAAGGGCCTCTCTTCAGAAAACTTACATGCATCAATTATTGCAAGTATTTCCAGTAGAATGAGCTCTCATTCATGGAGCAAGAATCCCTATAATAGAAGAATTTGCTTCCTGTTTTCTATAGTATTTTTATCCATCTAAGCCTATAATCCATTACAAAGCCATTAACTACATGTAGCCATTCATATTAAAATTAAAATTGAGGTTCTCAAACTAAAACTTTCACTAGGTACTCTCTAGGCCCTGTGGCCTGCGCTACCCACCATCCTGTCCCACCTCCCTGGGAACAGTGTCCACCCAGGTGAACCTGCAGAGGTCAGCCTCCACCCGATGCCCTTCTCCCACTTCCTGGTTTTGGCTAGATTCAATAGGCTCAGTTTGACAACATCTCCAGAGCAGCTGGAAACTAGGTGAGTTGACCTGATTAATTTCTGGGCAAAGAGATACAAGCACTGGGGCTGTGTTGGCCTCCAACAGGGCTTGCTGTACTCCCTCCTTTGGCTGTGACACACCTGACAGCCAGGGCAGGTCTACAGATGGAGGCCAAGCTAAAGCACAGAGTACCAGAGAAGGCCAAGTCCACAGCGCCACTGTGTCTGCCCTGGAGTGCTGAGGTATGGCCTGTGTAAAAGAGCGCACTCTTGTCTAAGTGAGGCTCCTATCCACCTGAACACACTTCCCTGATATGGCAAGGGCTGTATGTCCTGCCGCTATATGTCCTCACACTATGCAGGGCGCAGGAATCTGTCCTACCTTCTGCATGCTAAGGCGCAGCTCAGAGGTTCTTATGCTCCCGTCAGCAAATCTCAACCTGTCTAGATTTGAGACAGATTCTTCCCCAGCATTTGGTTTGATTGGAGGAACTTTATCTCCTAAAAACAATATCAAAACACTGGAATTTAAAGACACTCAAATTTGTCTCAAAGGCATTCAAAGACTTTGGAAACCACAGCAGTAAATGAACCAACTGTCCTGGCCCATCCTGACCCAAGAAACCACCTACTGACCTTGAGCCCATTTTATTTACTTTATTTCATTTTTTAGTACTGGGACTGAACTCAGGGGCACTTTACTACTGAGCTACATCCCAGCCCTTTTTTATTTATTTTGAGACAGGGTCTCGCTAAGTTGCTTAAGGCCTTGCTATGTTGCTGAGGCTGGTTTAAACTTGCCTCAGTCTCTCTACTCACTGGGATTACAGTCATGCGCCACTGTGCCTGGCTAAAAGCACAATATATTCAAACTTTTTCTCCCTTTCAAAGAAGGGAATCTCATTCCCTGCTTGATGAGAAGTGGTGATGATCCTCGGCTCAAAGGGCAGTGCCACAGAGGGAGGACACTCCCTCTGAGGACAGAGAAGCTGCACAAGCACAAAGCGTCATTTGCAGGTGGCCTAAGCTGTGCCTGATTCAGGGAGCTTGTGAAGATGCTCCCTGCCCTCTGGCCATGTGCCCCTCTCCAGCTGTTTTATCAGTAGGTGGAGACTGTGCTGTTTCCAGCGTGTTGCTTCAACCCTACTGTCTAAGAACCACAGAACTAATGTTCCACAGTCAGCATCAGGACAAGGTAACAGGGCAAAGGGCCAGGGTCCTATGGGACGTCCTGAGCAAAGAGGCAAGACAGCCTCCATGAGGTTGGAGGCGCAGTGACCTCCTGTTCTTGGTGTCTGGAACATACTTGCACCCCAGCTCGTGGCACCTTTTTTTCTCCAGCACATTAAGCTTGCGTAAGAAGAGCCAACAACTGAAACCTACTCTCAAAAGGGAGGGGCCACAACCCAAAGTTTGCTCGCATTGTGCCTTTGTTAATAGGGGTCAGTTCTGTTTAGTTTTCAGGGTGGGACCATTTTTCCATAAGTACTCAGAAGTTATATATTCATTGATCCCTACTATTCAAAATTTCATTGCAAGTAAACAATTTATACTAGGCAAATAATGTGCAATAAAGTTCTCAAGATAACAATTTTCTAGCAGTGACTTTTCTAAGCAGAACATGACTGCCAAAAAAAAAGGAACCAAGAAACCCTTATGTTAACTACTGAGGTTCCCAACCCACCCACCAGTCTTGACATTTTGACATCACTACCACATTGTCTGGCCTCCTGCTTCCTCAAACTAGAATTCCTTTCCAGCAATAAATTACGACTTCTGGCTGAAGAGAACACATACCAGGCCTACAAGACTGTGCGATGCTCAGGGCACAGGCCCGGCCAAAGACCACCAGGTCCAAGAGGGAGTTTGCCCCAAGCCGGTTGGCGCCGTGCACTGAGGCGCAGGCAGCCTCCCCACAGGCATACAGGCCAGGCACAATCTGATCCTGGCCATTCACATGCTTCAGTACCTGTAAGAAAGATTGTGGGTGAGACAATAAGATGTCTTAAACCCTAAGTCCCCCCTCTACCTGAGCAGCTGTCTGTGCTTGAGATCAAGAAAGGGAAGTAAGAAAAGAAAAAAAAAAAAAAAAAAGAAAGAAAGGGAAGTAAGGATGGTATCTGTCTCCTAGGGAATCCTCTGACTGCATCCCCAAATCCCATTTGCCTCCAAACACTCTCTGTGATGGGGGTCAAAGAACCCTACATTTGCACCTGTGCCTTCCCTTCCAGGAGCCACTCCTTGAGCCCCACTTCCCACCTGACTGGACCACCATGAAGTCTCAGCTCCAACTATGTTCCCTGGCAGGTGGAACCACAGCAGAAGGAACCTTCAGACCCTTCCACTCCCTGCCCCTGCTCCAACCAGGAACCAAGCGAGTGGCGAGCTCCTATGCACCGTGCACCACTCTGATGCAATCATAAAACCACTGACTCACAGTCATTGTAAAGACAACATAATACTGCACAGGAAAGCAGTTACAAATAGAAAAACTATATCTGGCATTTTATCTATCAGCTCCACTGGCAAGGAGCTATTATTACTAAGTGAATGCAAGACTAAAACAGAACTCCCCTACCCTGCAGCAAAGGTGATTTTAAGTACAAACCACCAAACATTAAAAAAAAAAAGAGGTCTGATATTCCCTCTAAGATCTAAGGAGACAGTAGTGGGATGGGCCCTGTTGTTACCTGCCCCTTGTAGTTGGTGGGAATCCCACCCATGTTGTAATGCACAGTAGGGAGTACAGGAATTGGCTCCTTGGTGACATCCACACCGGCGAAGATCATGGCTGTCTCTGAAATGCCAGGCAAGCGCATGGCCAGCTGCTCAGGGGGCAGATGGTGCAACTGCAGGAAGACGTGGTCCTTCTCGGGGCCACAGCCTCTGCAACATAGAGTATCTCAACATGAGGGATGAACAGCATGTGAGTCTCAACACATTTTTGGGGGAGGGACTGGGTTGAACCCAGGGACACTTTACTACTGCATTACATCCTCAGCTCTTTTTACTTTTGTTGTTGTTCTTAAATATTTATTTTTTTTAGGTGCAGCTGAACATGATACCTTTATTTTATTTATGTTTATGTGGTACTAAGGATCGAACCCAGGGCCTCACACGTGCTAGGCGAGTGCTCTACCATTGAGCCACAACCCCAGCCAGCCCCTTTTGCTTTTTGAGATAGGATCTTACTAAGTTGCTTAGGGCTTTGCTAAGTTGATGAGGCTGGCCTTGACTTGTGATCCTCCTGTCTCAGACTCCTGCACTGCTGGAATTGAAGGTATGAGCCATCCAGTTGGCTCAATGCTTTTTGATACTCTAGAAAACCTCCCCTTTGCTGTGGTCATTCTTTACCAATATTATTGAGCATGAGCTGCGTCCCAGGTACTACTCTGGTGCTGGGATGCAGCTGAGGACAGAACAAAAACCCTGCCCTCACCCAACTCACATTACTCCAAAACTCAGCTGGCCCATTTTTATATAAACCTGTAAAACCTACACAGTTCATGCCAGCAGACATGGAATAAGTGTCCCATATCAGAGAACAGGGCCAGGCATGGGGAGCCTAAAGCTGTTTCACTGGAAGACAAGAGAACACACATCCTGAAGGCTGCTGAAACACTGGTAGGCCTGAACACACCTCAGGCTTGTGTGCCAACCTCAGGCTGTGCATGTCTTTCCCCATACAGAGTGTCTGTCACACACTCACCCTTACGCAGACACCAAGGTGAGAAAGCCTTACAATGAACTGGCTAAAACTCAAAATGCAGGTATTTAGGAAATAACACAAACCAGCAGAGAACAGTCAAATAACAATAGGTAGCTTTATCCTTGTGGGCATGTGCAGGTGAGGGGTGCAGAACTCACAGCACCACAGCCCAGGTGACCAACTGCCACCAAGCAGAAGGGAAGAACATGAGTGTGTGCCCACCTGCATGGTTCACACATCCCTGGGTGAATCATACAGACCTTCCTTCACGGATCTCCAGAGTCATGGACCGACATACCACGTCCCTGGATGCCAGGTCCTTCGCGACAGGGGCGTACCTCTCCATGAACCTCTCGCCCTGACTGTTAATGAGGATGCCTCCCTCTCCCCGGCATCCTTCAGTAATGAGACAGCCAGCGCCATATATGCCTGCAAAAACGCAAGTCGTTAAACACCTGTAAGCTCACAACCATCAAACACACATCTCAAATGCCAATTTTTTCAAGACACTTTGTTGGCAGAGGAAAGTGCAAAGAGAAAAAAAGGAAATGCTGAAGGGGAGTAGGAAGCAGAGCCAGAGCTGAAAGTGCAAGTCTAGGAAGGATGGGCTGCCAGTGATTAAAACCCTTGCATGATCACCACCTTGACTGTTTCAACTTTTGAAAATAATTTTACACCATGACAATGTGGTGACTACCTTAAGAACAACCAACATGGAAAATTCCTATCTAAAGAATTCAAATGGCAACAATGACAGTAACTCTCATGGCTGTGGACGGTGGCAGCTGCTGTACACATATTTACTCTCTTCACCCCATCCTCAGAGACAGCAAGTGAGAGCTGACTACCTGGCCCAGGCCACATGGCTGGCAAGGGCAGAACCCAAGTCCAAACCTGGGCAGCATGGTGCAGACTGTTTGTTCCTAACCTGGCCTCTGGCCCTGTCCCTCAGTGTAATGAAAATGAGGAATGCCAAGCCTTGAACTTTAACAGGAGAGACCAAATGAACAAACGAATGTAATTTGAAGTTAAAATTTTCTTGAGCACACCAAAAGGGCTACATGCTTTAAAAATAAGAATGCAAATTCCTGCATTTCTTTTTGCTTTTGTTTTTCCTGGTGCCATTTTTTGGGTGGTTTATTTCTCAGAGTTGTGAAGGAAAAGAAATGGAGCCCCAGGTATAGCACATGAGTGGGACCCTGAAGCTTGGTGGCATTTCACTGGACAACAAAAGTAACAAAAACCAACATCTACATTTCTTAGTTTTCATCCCTGCCAGGCTTCAGAAGGGATGTACTGACAGGAAAGGGAAATAGCCCTGGCTCTTCACCCCTGCAGAGGCCAGGGGAGCAGCCCAGGAGTGGTGGGTACATTGCCTCAAGCAACAGGCTCCTCTCAGCCTTGACTCTGGGTTTTCCCCTGAACTCAAGTCTCCGACCCATGTTATTAGCATCTCCAGCCATCTGCTGGCCCAGGAAAAACTAACCTCCCCCACAACTAGTTTCCTCCTTGTCCACACCCTAATCCCAGCAACAGAGTGCCACCTGTCAAAGCTGAGTCCTAACTTCATACCCTATTGCCATAGGGGCCCATGTTTTCCCACGATCCACCCCAGCCACTTCTCTGGTCACATACTTTCCCTGGCTCTCAAACTTCCACTCAGGAAATACTGACTCAAGTTCTGGACACAGCAGTACATGAGAAACCTGCCCCTGGGTGGGAGAAATTGAGCAATCCCTGTTTGCTACTGGGGCAAACACCACCGAGGCAGGGCTTGGACTCTGCTGGGAGTACAAAGATGGAGACCCGAGGGGCTGAGGTTGTAGCTGAATGGTAGAGTGCTCGCCTAGCATGTATGAGTCACTGGGTTCGATCCTCAGCACCACATAAAAATGAAATAAAGATATTGTGTCCACCTAAAACTAAAAAACAAATATAAAATATATATATATATATATATATATATATATAGAAGATGGAGACCTGAACTGCCCTGGGAACCCAAGAATCACAATCGAGTGTGTTAGTAAGTGAAGCCTGGAGAGCACCAAGGATGCACCACATGCTTACAGGACAGAAGCCCACCCAGGCCAGGCACCCATCCTACCTGTGGGGTGGAACTGCACAAACTCCAAGTCCTGGCAGGGAAGACCAGCCCTGGTGATCATGGCCGTACCATCCCCAGTGCTCGTGTGGGCAGACGTGCAGCTGAAGTAGGTCCGCCCGTACCCCCTGGAAATGACAGAGCATGATGACTGTACAACAGCAGCCCAGGCAGGACCTCCAGTCCCCTGGGACCACACAACAGACACAGCAGCCTCAAGGGCACTATCTTCAAGAAGTGCACATACCACACTGAGGAGAGGCCCTGCCACTGACTGGTGCCACCTTGGGATGCAGGATAAGGGCACAGAGAAGAGATACTCATGATAAAAAAAATAGTAAACATTAAGGATTTTTCTTATTATATTTTTGTCTCCTGGCTTCACTGATATATGATTCAAAATAGGATGTTCTGATAAGTGCACTCACTGAAGGGATTGCCACCAGGGAGATAATCAACACACGTGTCACCTCACCTAAAGATCCTCTCTTGGGGACATGGACATGGAGATCAACTCTCCTGGCCAGCTTCAGGCCCACAGGCTGTGTGCTCAGTCTCAGAGAGCATTGCCCTCAGACTCCCCCAACCCTGGCAATCACCACCTAGAGCCTGACATTTCTGGATTCCATGTGTAAATGAAATCATGCACTGGGCTGTTTTAATTAGCACAACATGCTCCAGGTTCAACCACACTGTCGCCAATGACAGGATTTGCTTCTTTCTTTTGGCTAAATAATGCTCCATGGCCTATTTACACAGCATCTCCTTTATCAGCAAAGGACGTCTGGGCTCCCTCTGTCCTGGGCTATGTGAACCATGTGTGTGAAGGGACCTCAGTCATATGTTGTTCCTCAGCACAGTGGGGCTACAGGATCACACAGCAGGTTCCTGCCTTGGTTTTCTCGGGAACTCCACAATACCAATTTCTACTCCTGCCAGCAGTCTGCCAAGGTCCCTTTTCTCTACATCCTTGTCACCTCATGTCTTTCTAACCTCAGCCACTCTAGCAGGTATAAGACAATATTGCCTTGTGGACCCTGATGATTAATGATGCTGACCACCCTTTTACAAACCTGTTGGTCACTTTGTCTTCTTTGGTAAATGTCCATTTGGGTCCTGCCCATTGTTTACTGGATGTTTTTTGGGTAGCTATTTAGTTGATGCATTGATTATACACTTTGGATATCATCCCTTTACCAGACAAAATGGTTTGTGGATATTCTCTCCTAACCCACAGACTGTCTTTTCATTTTGCTGATTGTTTCCTTTGCTGTGGAGGAACTTCTTAATTTTTAAAATGGTAAACAAGATGGTACAGAAACTAAAATTTAATTATTTTCATCATGTGCACAAATAGCAATTTTCTATTCTATGAACCAATCAGTATAGTCACCATTAAAGCAGAAAGGTTACACCAGGAAATGTCACATGACTCTCACAAGTCCTCAGTTCCCTCACCTTAGAGCAGGAGGGACAGTGATCATTAAGGTTCCACTGCACCCTGAGGACAGCCTCTGCTATGACCAAGGGCAGCACAGATCTCCTGCTACCTCTACCAGGCACGGACCAAGCCTGGGAATGGCCATTGCCACATAATGGTACACTAAAGCCTGTATCCAAAGCACTACTCTAGAATGCCCACATTTTATTAAAGAAACTATGAAACTCAACTTTTCTAGAGAGATGAAATGCAAATACAAAAATGAGGTTCCTACCCAGTGGCAATGACAGTGTTCTTCGCACGTATGCGATGTATGGATCCATCCTCTATGCATAGTGCGATGACTCCGCGGCACTCTCCGCTCTCCATCAGGAGGTCCAGGGCAAAGTACTCCACAAAGTAGCTGGTGTCGTAGCGCAAAGACTGTGGGACACAGGACCCCACATTCTAAACTGCATTCAAGTTAAGTGTTAAGCCAATGTGTTTAAAATGCGAATGGTTAAGCATGTGAAAGGTTAGAGGGCTTGATTTGGCTCTGCTAATGAATGGACTCCATAATGCTAAGATGACACTGGGGTTTGAAATAGATAACAGGCTGCAGTTCTCGTTATCAAAGCCTATGGCACTGTAAGAACATAAGAAAGCATCACACATTAACAGGAGAAAGCAAACCCCTGGTGACCTGCACCATGGAGTACATGCTCACGTTTCTGTAACACCTCTTGTTTTGGCATGACCTCAGGTGGCATTCCAGGCTCTCTGGAGGCTGCGTGGTACCAGAGTAAGACCCACGTACCACAAGGTCCACAACAAAACCTTGAGTTCCCGGTCACACAGCCCCACTTGCAGTGGTATGTGGGCTGGCGTTGCCCAGCCGCACAGTGTAGACATGCCCAATTCCACCCACAGAGAGGTCCCCACTGGGCAGCGTTGCAAGGGCTGGACCTGACAGTCCTCAAAGCAAGTCCAAGAGGCTCTCAGGAGCCTGAGCCAACTCCCAAGAGAGAACTGTAGTACAGATAAGTCCTGTTACGCATCTGTCATCATAGTCAGCCTCAGAGAAGACTTGGAAACTTATCACCTTGACCCACCTATCTGAAAACAGTTCAGAATACTGATGATTTAGCTGTGTCACAGCAGGCCCTGACCATCCAATGACTACTGTCTCATAAGTCTTCAAGCAGTTTTATAGTTAAGTATTAAAACAAAACAATCAATTCAGGAACTTGAAGGCAGTAAAACAGTCTTAAAATGACAGGTCTATTTTTATACTTGGATTGTGATGGCCATAAGTTCAACTTTCACATTGAATTGGACATTCAATTTTCCAAAATACATGTAGGAAATACAATTGTCAAAATGACAGCTTTTGCAGCACCTGTCCAGTACTTTCAGGTCAACAATTACTACACAGCTCTTAAAGAGTTATCCTATTGTTCTTAACCCATGAGCTGGCTCCACCATCCCTGAGTCATTCCCACTCTCCTGTATCCCATCTCTTGTACACCCAGGCGGCCTCACCCTTCCATACAAGGTGTGCAGGAGTGAGTGGCCGGTCCGATCAGCTACGCAGCAGCACCGATGGGCCTGCCCACCTTTCCCAAACTTGAGGCTCTGTCCACCAAATGCACGCTGATAAATCCTTCCATCTTCTGTTCTGCTAAATGGCATGCCGTAATTCTCTAGCTATAAAACGCAAACACAAACAGGAACCTTAAAGGAGGAAGCTATTCTAGGAATTTGGACTACAACCTTAACATGACTCTGCAAACCCCACACTGAGGTACTCTGTGAAAACACCAAGGCTACAGAAGCCACCTTGGTGACTCAGCTCCAGGGCTGCAGCAAAAAGCCCCTGCCAGCGTGTCTCCTCCCCCTCCTCTGGCTGACCACACTCCCTTACCTCGACCACGGAGGCAGGGGCCTGCTCCGTCATGTAATGGATGGCATCCTGGTCCCCCAGCCAGTCAGAGCCCTTCACAGTGTCGTAGAAATGCCACCTCCAATTGTCCTCCTCCATGTTCCCCAGCGCAGCATTGATTCCCCCCTGGAAACACATGCATTCCTTACACACTATTGATGGAGCCCAAGGGCATCTTCAGGCCTCTCTTCCTTGTGCGGTTAGTCTCTACAAGGGCTGAGGGGGAGCGAGGCAGGATGGTCCCAAGTCACAGCTTCAGCTGACTAGATAAGCAATTTAATCCCTCTCTGCAAAGGAGAAGCAGCAACATGCAAGGGCTGCTGGGAAAAGATGCACATAAACTTGCCTGCCTCTTAATGAGCTGACACAAAGCACTCCAGAAACCCACCAGTGATTTCATGACAATGGCACTCTAGCTGTATGCTGAAAACACTACGAATACAACTCTAAACTCAGAGCCACCCAGCCCTGCACCCCACTTCCTATGGCTATGCATGGACATCACCTTGTCTCATCCCGCAGAGTCACCAGATACAACAATACAGAGATAAATGTTAACCCTCACCCTCTTCTTCCCCAACTCAAATTTCAATTTCTCCTCTTTAGATAATCTTTTTTTTCCCCCCACATGTAAAGGAACACTGATGTGATCTCTGTGTGTCCACAAGGCTGTGTTAGAGGTGTGGTCCTCAGTGTGAGGATGTTAAGAGATGGTGGGCCCTTTGGGAGGCGCTCAGGCCCTCTCGGCATGCCCTTGGAGGAACTGAGTCTGTTTTATGGGAACTGGTCAGTCTTGCAGGGGACTGCTATAACAGAGCAACACCGGTTGCTTCCTGCTCTGGCTCCCTGTCTCTGTATGTGACCTCTCCTTCTCACATGTTCTCACCACAAAGCTATCCACTAGGAAATGCTGTAACCAAAGGAGCCCTTCCCAGAGGCAAATGCATGAGACTGCCTGATCTCAGGATTTCAGCCTCCAACACTGAGCTAAAATATCCAACTTCTTTATATGGTACCCAGCCATGGATTTTCGTTACAGCAACAGAACACAAACTAATACACATTTCTAACCTTTCTCCAATTGTTGTTCTATCACAACTTTTCAGTCAAGCAGAATCCCTTCCTGTCTTTACTGCTGTGCCTCAGTTTCCTCACTTATGAGGTTCCTTCCAGTTCTGATGTCACCAGCACAGAGCTGAGAACTTTGCAGCAAGAGGACAAGTTATCCAGTGACTTTCCTTCTTTCTTTAACTCTCCAACTACAAACCCAAGGAGATCCTGACAAAAAAACAAAACTCCACAGTCATAGCAGAACACAGAAAGCTGGTCTGAAATAACAGAAAAACCTAACAGTGTATGCAATCCCAATGCTAGCCACAACCTGCCATCACCAGAGGCTGACCCTGAGCTCTCAGTTCCGACTAGAGTCCCTGGCCTCCATATGATCCCAGCCCCCGGGGCAGGCCTCCTGAGAACCAGTACTCAAGCTGAGCTACCCTTTGCTGACTACGCTACTACTGCCATGGGACTTTAACACCATGTGACCTGAACACTGCCTATCTTGTGAGCAGAGAGGCCTTTCCTGGCTCCTGGAACCAACCACCCACTGTCTCTTAACAGAAGCGTGTTCCAAACACTGACTTTGGTGAACTGTGAACAATCTGGATATTATCTACAGTGATCCTAGAATCAGAGAACAAAATCATAAAAGCACTGTTTTCTTACCTTACTTTTACCTTCTTCCCTACACTGAGAACTTCGAAGGCCACTGTCCCTCTAACCTGCGTGCCCACGCCACGTCTACAAGCACCGCCACACACCCTGATCAGGTGCTATGGTCTGCACCTGGAATATCCCCCAAAGACCCATGTGTTGAAGGCTTGGTCCCAGCCCATGGCGCTATCTTGAAGAGATAGGTCTAGTGGGAGGAAGTGAGGTCTCGGGGGTGGGGGTGGGGGGAGTGGGGGGGCATGTCCTTGAAGGGGACACTGGAATGTCGCTCTTCTTTTTTCAGTTCCTGGTGAAACTCATGAGCAGCCTCCTCAGCAACACACTCTGGCCATGACACTCTGTGCCATCACAGGCCCAAAGCAACCAGATCAAGTGACCATGGACTGAAACCTCTAAAACCATGAACCAAAATAAACCTTTTCTCCTTTTAATTTGATTACCTCAGGCATTTCCTCATACCTTCTTCATAGTACACAAATTGACTAACACATTTCAAACATGTGAGGGATGCAAAGGCAACTGAACCACAGGGGCAAAAGCAGGACTGGGCGCGACAGTCAGAAAAGACCTGCATGTGAGAAGCCACACAGGTCCCAGGGAAGAGGCCCAGTAGTGAGTGAGCCAGTGGGAGCTGGCAAACAAGGAGGAGCTCGAAGTCACTGTTGTTGCTTTCCTCTGCAGAGAAGGCAGGAGGTTGCTGAGGTAAAGAGAGCCTCACTGTTGCACCAAGAGCACTGAGTGATAAAACTTTCTCTTACCTGTGCTGCGACAGTGTGTGACCGGGTAGGAAAGAGCTTCGTGAGGCATGCGGTATTAAACCCTGCCTCAGAAAGGCCAAATGCAGCTCGCAAGCCTGCCCCGCCAGCACCTACCACCACTGCATCAAATTCATGATCCACCACTGGGTACTGAGTAGAAATCTAGAAAAGAAAATTCAGCTGTCAATCACACATTCAACCATGCCAAATATTCAGAATATGGTGATAGCAGATTAATTAGCCTAAAGAAAATGAAGGGAGTAATCAAAAGGAAAGAGCAATGAGGTCCCCAACCTTATCCTAAGGCCAAGCACACATGCCCAGTGGGGCAGCCTCATGGAAGGGGGATCAACAACCATACTTAATGAATAGCAGAGGTTCTGTCCCATGGACCAGGAAACCCAACATTAGCTGAAATATTACACACTTAGAGATACAATTTCAAAAAAAATCCATTTCTAAGGAGGCTTAAAACCACTAAGACCCCAACGTGTCAACTGGGGAGTACAGAGGCAGAGGAAAGCAACAACAGTGGGTTCCAGCTCTGCATATATCATTCTTACTTGTCCACTCTTGTCATGCTCACGTCCCTACTTAGAACTCTGCAGTGCTGTTTTATTCTAGGTATGCACACTGCACTTGACCTGGCGTGGACCCAAGTCAGGCTCCTATGAGAAGGTGCCAAGGATATGCAGCAACCACCATGAGCTTGAGGTAAGAAGCCGTAAGCAAACTTCAGCATTCTCAACAGAGAGCAGAACAGGAACACTAAACTCAAAAGACCCCATACTTGGGGCTGGGACTAGCACGGGCAGGACCTGGGTTAGATTCTCAGCACCACATAAAAATAAAAGGCACTGTGTTGTGTCCATCCACACCTAAAAAATAAATATTAAAAAAATATTTTAAAAAAAGACCCTACACTCATGTGGCTACACAGCCCTACTGTGAGTAGAGACTCCATCTTCCACCACTGCAAATGCTATTCATTTGTATCTAATCTATAGAGAACTTTACAAGCAAAACTGTCAATATCTGTAAATATTTGTATAACTATTATTGTACTAAAAATAATTTGAGCATGGATTGAATATCCAAGAGAATTTCTTTAAATATGTGCAATATGTGAATGCACTGAAATGAACTGGTCTAGGCTATGATCCCTCTAGGCCAACAAAGCTGTTTAATGCAGCAGAAAGCCACAGACTCACCGATTCTGAAACTTTAGCAGACGCCCTCTTCCTTCCATCGACAGTGAAGTGAACACCACGGGCCCATGTTGGGAGCGTTGCCGGCCACTGCAAAGGTACAGACTGTTTGTGTCTTAAGGACCACAGACACTAAGGGAACTGAAACTAAAATTTCCTTCTAAATCATGAACCTTTCTATGTACCCCTGTTCTTGTTCTAGAAAGCTCACCTGGGGCCCTTGACTTAAACTCCAAGGTCAGACAGATCAGTGGGCAAGGACTCAGCCCCTCCAAGGCTTCCTCTCCACCTAAGGTGATATTCCAGTGAAAGCCTTCTGGATTAAGTTGCTTTTTCTGTTCCCAGTAGGAAACTCAATGGATCAGAAATAAAATGAAAAAGGTTCACCTTCTCTGTGGTGTCCTAATTGACATTACTTAGGTCGAAAATGGGAGAATGCCGCCTCACTGCACAGTAGTTTTGCAAGTAAAGAAGCATTTTTACTGCTCTATCTTAGCACTCAAAGCCTTGTAGTCTTGGAAAAGGCACTGGACAGTGGACAGGGAGATTCTTTTTCTGGAACAGGCTGCTGTATAACACTTAGTAAAAGCAGTTTGGTTCAGAGGAATGAGTGGTGGCATCCCTCCACCCCACACAGGAGGACTCCACTAAGCTAGCCTTTAGCCACACCCTCTCTTGTCCACCAGGCCTCTGGTGCTGCCCATCTGCAGGGCTGTCCCAGCTGTTAACTGGTTAACCTCCACAACTTGTCTTGTCTCAGCTTAAATGTCCCATTCTATACAAATTTACTCAAAAATATCTGTATCGGTGACACTGTGGCCCAGTGTAAGAGAGACACTTTCCATGTGGTAAGACTGGGTCAGCTGCTGGGGCATATGTTCTCCATTCTGAGGCTGCACTTTAGAAGATCAAAATAAAAGAGAGTTAGAAAATCCTAAAGAATAGTTTTAGGAAGTATACCCAGCAATTAGAGGAGGAGAAAAGAGAGATGTCTTCCTGTACTTTGTTACTTGGAAAAGACCATTATTCTGTGGGGGGTGGGGGCAGATTCTGTAAGACAAACAAGAGGGGATCACAGGAATGGAATTCGCAAGGTAAAGGCACTCAGCTGGGCTGGAGGGCAGCTGGTCTGTCCTTCTCAAGCAAAGGCAGACTCCTATGCCAAGCTTCCTCTACTGCTAAGCTTGAATGACAGTTGGCATAAACACTTGGATTTATTTAACAGTCCCAATTGCAAGGTAGTTTCTTGGATTTTAAAGAATTTTTAAATTTTTAAAGTGTTCGACTCTACAATCACAAGTCTATTTCAAAAACATACTGACAAGCCAATTTAGGTTTTCCATTTTTTTCAGAAAACGAATTTAAGGAAAAAACAAAATTCTTCCGCCTAAGTACAGTTTCTCTATGGCATACATTAACATAGAGAACAGTTGTAGTAACAGGAATACATTTTATAGTACCAACTCAAAATGGAAATGGTGAGGTCGCTATACATTTCTTTAAGATGTTCACGTACATTAAGATGTTCTGGTACACCCGCTACCCACTCCCAAAAAAGTGGCAGTTACTAGAGTACGTAACCGAATTGACAATTATCACTCTCTCCCTGTGAAAAATGACACCAATCTTTATTCTGAAGTTGGACTTTGCAGGGGATATTTTTATTTTTTGCAGTGTTGAAGTCAAACTCAGGTTTGTGCTCCTCTTCCACTGAGCTATCTTCCCAACCAGGCAGTAGGGTGTATTTTTTAATTTGGAGACTAATTTCAATTTAACCAAATTTCTGTCTTTAGATAAAGCTTATTTTGCCCAGGCCTGGGGTACAGACCTATAATACCAGCTACTTAGGAGGCTGAGGCAAGAGGTCTAAGTTCAAGGCCTGCCTGGGCAAGGCAGAGAGACTCAAAATAAAAACTAAAAAGGGTAGTGGATCTAGCTCTGTGATAGAACACTTGCCTAATATTCATGAGGTCTTGAGTTCAACCCCTAGTATGGCAAAAAGTAAAAATGAAAAGAAACACACAAAACAAAATTTTTGTGATTATTATTATTATTATTTTGAGAAGAAGAAACATTTTCTAACAGGGAAACATGAAAATGAATGAGGAAATCTACCTGCAGTACAATTGAAAGGCACATAAGACTTTGTTCAATAGCTTAGAAGTTTAGATGACTGAATTAGGTAATAAAGAAAAAAGGAGGAAAACGTGAGAACATTACCCTCAATAAGCAAAGGGGGGGCCTCACCTGATAAAGCATGCCTACAAAATCATGACCAAGAAACAAAACACAATCTATGCAACTACAAAAAAGTCAATAAAGGCTGAGGTTGTAGCTTAGTGGTAGAGTGCTTGCCTTGCACATTTGAGGCCCTGGGTTCAATCTTCAGCACCACATAAAAATAAATAAGTAAAAATAATGATATCGTGTCCACCTACAACTAAAAAATATTAAAAAAAAAAAAAGAAAAGTCAATAAGAACCTAAAAATGGTTGATATGGGGAAGTAGGGTGATTTAGGTGAACTAAATCCTCTACAAGGCAGAAAGCCAATGTCTACAATGGAAAACCTGCAGGGGGCAATGAAACACCTCAAAATTATCCCCACTGCTGGCAAAAGCAAGGTTTTCTTTTCCCCATACAAGGCTTTCTGTATTCACTAATTTTTTTAACAACTATGTGCAATTATTTTCATTAAAAATTTTAATATTTGTTTTTCAAATACAGATGCTTAAAATACATCTCAAATGGATACAAAGCATGGGTGGTGAGCTACAACCCTGGCTAGTTTAAAGGGCTACTTCACAGAACCCTCCTTAGCTCCAGGGAGAAACTGAAAACTTGGGGGACTCCAGCTCGGATCCTATACTTCCCCACTATCCAGAGAATATTGGGAAACACCTCTGACTCTAAGATTAAAATCCTGATTATATGTAAACCCAAGTCAAAGATTTTCAAATGAACCGGTAAAAAAAAATTACGCAGGGGGTGGGGACATGGCTCAAGCGGTAATGCACTCGCCTGGCATGCGTGGGGCGCTGGGTTCGATCCTCAGCACCACATAAAATAAAACAAAGATGTTGTGTCCGCCGAAAACTGAAAAATAAATATTAAAAAAATTCTCTCTCTCTCTTAAAAAAAATTATGCAGAATACAGAACTAAATGCCACTGCTATGATAATCAAAAGAAAAAAAGTTATTACTGTAATAGCATAACTAATGTAATTTCAAATACATCACCAAAACATATTTGGAACAATTCATCTAAGAAAAGGAATTGATTTATCCTAAAACAACATTTTGTATATTCATCTTGAAGGATTTAAAAAACTTCATCAGAAGGGAATGGTTAACAACTATGTAAAGTCTTTGGTTTTACTCTTCCTCTGGATCAAACGGCTTCAAATCATGTCAATGCACTGGGGCCAGGAAAAGAAATCAAAGGTGAGCTAAGTCTGGCAAACTGATAACTTGAAGGCAGTTCTCAATAAAGAGTAACCCCAAACATCTACTTTCCAAAGCCATTTCTCAGATGACTATCATAACTTTTTTTCCCTGCTAGTTTGACTATTGTAAACTCCAATTCTTCAGGGAAAAGAAAACTAATCTTACATGCCAATAAATATACTGCTTGGGGGCAGAATTTCTCAAGGAAAAGCTATCCTCATAAAGATAAAACGACTTCTTAAAAACCCAAATCACAGGACAGTAGTGAAGATTCTAGATGGAAAATGCAGATAAAAATGCAAACAGTTAATTCAACTGAGGTTTGAAAAAGACCACTTCCAATCAGCCACTAGGAAAATAAAGGGTTATCAACTAAATTTATTTCAATGCTCAAAACCTTGTCCCCACTTTCAGATAGAAGTTCAAAGCTAGAATTCCTCTATTCTAGTCTGGATAAAAGACAACAACAATTGGGGTCTTCCACAGCAGAAGGACCACTGGGAACCTTCTTGAGTAAGGACAAACCACTCTGCTACAATCACAGAATATCAACCTGTCATTTTCTGAAAAAGCACCACTGACCAGGACTCTACTTCCTGCAGCGTCTTAAGGGCCAAGATGGGAATGGGATGGTCTGCTCTGTAGGCACCAACCACAGCACCTATTAAAACGTTTATAATGCCTTCTGGTTTTTAAAGGAGTGGCTGTCAACTAATCCTTCTCATACTTAATTGAACATAATCTTTAATATCTCTATTTCAAAAAGGAGAAAATTGCAGTCATAATTACAGGCACAATGCACGACACTACTGTTGAATGCCTTGACTTCTACTGGCACTTCTTCTTTGTAATTAAACTATTAAGTAGGTAGGTGGGGTCAGTTCATTTAAAAGAATCAAATAATGAAACCATCCAAAGTTAGTTTACTTAAAGCAAGCCCTGGAAGGCTGAGGATGAACACGCCATGTTAGCGTTCACTCAGACAACCCGGACAGCAGGGACAGGGAGGGTACCCTGATCCCCATCCCAACCCGGTACACATATGCTTGGTCCCATGCCCCCCCCCCCCCCCGTCAGTGTGCTCGTGTCGTCTGATTTTTTTTTTTAAAAGTGCTCAGCAATGAAACATTACTCAGCCATAAAGAACGAAATTATGGCATTTGCCGATAAATGGATGAAACTAGAGACTATCATGCTAAATAAAATAAGTCAATCCCAACACACTAAAGGCTGAACGTTCTGATTTGCAGATGCTTACACATAATAGGGGCGGGGTGGGGGGTGGAGTTCACTGCATTACACAGCGAGAAAGAAGGAAAGGGAGGAGGGTGGAATAAGGAAGGCGATGGGATGAAGTGGACGTAACTGATCACGTAGGAACACACCACTAGGTTAACTCCACATCACCTACAGTCACAATAATTGGAAGTTGTACCACATGTATGTATGATATGCCAAAATACGTTACACCGTCATTTAAACTAAAAAGAACAAAACAAAACAAAAAACAAAAACAAACAACAACAACAAAAAAAAAAAAGGTGCTCAACGGCCACCGCACCAAATCTAAAATAAAGGTTCCCAACTGCCAAGGTCTCCCGGTGGACACGCACAGGAGGGCCAGCAGCGGCCCGTGGAGCCTAGACAGCCCACACCTCACGACCGCCGGCCCCGTAGCGACCTCCACACAGCGCCGGCGAGGTGACCTTGGAGGACGCGGCTCCAGGCCTTATCCCGGCTAGGGTCGTGACCTTCACCGGGACGCTGCGGGCTGCCGCCACAGGAGGAGCCCTGCCAACCCGGGCAAGGGAGCGGCGACTCGGCATGCGCTGCACTCTGCCGGCCGGGCCCCGACCCGCCCGGGTCCCGCCCTCCCGCGATGCCGACTCACCGCCTGGGTCAGGACCAGGCGCCTCGCACGGAGAAGTCGCGACGCTGCCCCGACCCCCGCCATGTTTACGCCGTCCCGCCAGGCCCCGCGCCAAACCGCGCCTGCGCACCCCGCCGCGCCCAGAGTGCGGCAGGGAAGATCCCGCGCCTGCGCATCCCGCCTCTCCCGGGGTCCCGCGTGGGGACATCTCGCGCTTGCGCATTTCGCCTCGCCCGAGGCGTCGGGGTTGGATCCCGCGCCTGCGCAGAGCAGACCCGCGGACGGGGTTGCGGGGTGCTGGGCTCCAGGAGTGGTCCGGCACCGGTGGGTCTGTATGGTATTTGGTGGCCGGGCGGGCTGGGCGGTGTTCAGGGGAAAGGGTCGAACACCGATATTTTTAAAAGTACTCTGTGGTTCCCCGAGCATGCCAGCACTAAGAGGGTCTGAGGATCTCGACCCCGGGGAATGGGGTCTGAGGGGCGGCGACCGCGGCCTCGTAACCGCCGGTGTTTGGGGACACGGCCCGTCCGGCCTCAGGAAACGCGGGGAGGTGCCCCACTTCCACCTGCGGGGCTGGGGAGGGGGCTGCCCCCTGCGCTGAGCCGGAGCAGCAGCGGAGCGCACTGGACAGGAGACGAGATGGGAAGCTTTCCTGTGCTCCAGCTGCGGGGAAGCCCAGGGCCCCCCTGAAAGCTGCCTGGGTCGTGGCTTGTGAGCCTGTTGCTAGCTTGCTCCGATGGTATTTGTAGTTTTCTAGTGTGTTTATTTGCTAAGAGCCGGGATCTTGCATGGAAAATAAATCAGTAATCCTAAGTAATTTAGCTTCCTGCTTTTTTCACTTTGTATTATTAAAATCTTCCTCTTGTACACAACTTTATGAATATGATTTCGAATTATTAAATTTACAATGAATCATTGTCATTTTATTGATTTTTTTCCCCAATTTTTGCTATAAGAGCATAAAAAATATATTTGTGCTCAAAATTTTGCCTTTAGGATTACTTCCTTAGGACATATGCCCCAGAATTATGCTTTATTGATGTGCAGGGAACAAACATTATATAATGAGCCCTACTTATGAGTGGGTCCTCTATCAGTGGATTCAGTCACTTGCAGATCAAAAATATTTGGGAAAAGATTGCTTTGCACAGTGCATGTACAGACTTTTTTCCTTGTCATTATGGCTTTAACAATACAGCATAACAACTACTTACATAGCCTTTGCATTACATTAGGTATTATGGGTGATCTAGAGATGATTTAAAGGATACAGGAGGATGAGTGAACGTCATGCAAATATTTCATCATTTTATATAAGGGATTTGGGCTTCTGTGATTTTTGGTGTCTTCTGGGGGGCCTGGAACCAATCTCCCATAGATGTCAGGAATGATTATACTTCCTAGATGTCTTTTTGAAAGTATAACAATTTTAGTATTTTCTAAATTAGGTATCTACCTAATTGTTTAGAAAATTTTGTGGTTACCAAGAACCCCCAAATATTAAGTTCTGAGCCATGTGTTTGGGTATATCTTTATCATCTATCATAATTTTATGTCTTTAGGTGTTAAATATTTATTTAAAAAACCCTATTAAAATTTTTCAAACATTGGGTTGAATTCCCTGTTTCTTACATACAACATGACTAAATATTTTGTGATCAGTGTATTTGTGGTGGGCACATAAACAAGGTGAAAGCCTCCATGACTCTACTTTGTGAACATGCCCACTTAGCATGGGTACTTAAAAAACTTGCAGACTCTTAACCTAGCTTGGAGAGTACAACCTACACCTGAAGCAGGGGCCTCTCTAATCATGTTGGTGACCACCATGTCAGGAGGCATGAAAAGACCCACACTGTCCCCATTTTCCTCTCATGCAAGGCCCAGCACTTACCCAAAGTCTCCTGCCTGCATTATTCTTTCTGCTTGGAAGACCTTTTTCCTTTGATCGCTGTCTGTTAGACAACTGCTCATTCTTCAAAACTAAGCTCGCACAAACCAGTATGTCCAGTGTGAGCCGTCATTTATTCAGTTGGTTGTATGTCTTTATTTACAATTGGGTTAAGGTCCTGCAGAAATGGAATCGATAAGAGACATATACACACGTGCACAGCCAGGCATTGAATAACAGTGGAGATATGTGTTGATGGGGTTTTGACCTGTAACACCCTGGAGTGCACTTATACAGGCTGAGCGGCCCATGATATTATTATATGATAAGATCTTACAGAGCTACCATCTTCTATGTGATTCATCAGTGAACAGAATGCTATGAAATTTATGACTGTGTATGTATGTGTGTGTACCTATATACATACACATAGATGTATATCACAGAATGCAAGCACATGCATTCAATTTAGTATATGAATTGGTATTAAGGATGCGCAGCTTATCCATCCAGAAACAACCCTGAGACACCCAAAGTGGGGTGCAGCCAAACATCTGGGCATGCCACGGCTCAGTCAAGGTGACTCGGGCTGTTACCCATCATGACAATCAGCGTTTAAACACACTAAAAAGCAGGACTTTCTGCCTGTACCTGGCTGATTTGAGATGTGTTTTTCCCCACTAGGTTGCAAGTCGTCGTTTCCTTCTTGAAATCCCAAAAAGCTCCATGTGCATGCACTGAAAAAAGGTATTTTAAAAAATTTTTTTTTTAGTTGTAGATGGACACAATACCTTTATTTTGTTTATTTTTACGTGGTGCTGAGGATCAAACCCAGTGCCTCACATGTGCCAGGCAAGCGCTCTACCACTGAATTACAACACCAGCCTGAAAAAAGGTTATTGAATAAAATCATGATTCTTGAGATTCAAATAGATGACATAATAGTGACTGTTGTTTTATTCCTTTCATACAATGATTTGTCCTTTCCTTTCAAGGTATATCTCCATGAATAACTTAAATGATCCTCCAAATTGGAATATCCGGCCTGATTCCCGGGCTGATGGGGGTGGTGGAAGCAGGTGGAATTATGCCCTATTGGTGCCAATGCTGGGATTGGCAGCTTTCCGTAAGTTGTGGTTTTTCTGATGTTTGTGTTTTCTGGGCTGAAAGCATGAAGTGGTACCTTAAGACCTAGCTTTGGGACCTGACAGGTGCAGCCCAATTTCATCCCATTCTGTGACTTCTGGGCAAATTACTTAATTCTTCTAAGCCTCAGTTTACCTGACCCTGGGAGGTGGCAGTCACAATCAACTCAACACATGAAATGAGAGATCAATGTTTAGAAATGTTTTGTGTGGGCTGGTTTAATAACTGGTTTCATGGCAGTGACTCCTTGCTTTTGTGTCCTAGTCAAGACTGATAGGGAAGAACAGGCCTAGATGAAAACAAGTTTGATGTGTGCTTCATGTTTGGAAGTCAGCCCAGAGACTTGGCCTGTGTAAGTTCTGCTCAGCATAGCCAGAAGCCCTGTATGTAGTTTGAGTTGACTGGGCACCACTAGATACTCATCCCCAGATGTGAGAAACTGTTAAAGAATGGAAGAAAAAAGCCGGGTGTGTGGTGGCACATACCTGTAATCGTAGCAGTTTGGGAGGCTGAAGCAGGAGAATCGCAAGTTCACGCCAGCCTCAGCAATTTAGCAGGGACCTAAGCAATTTAGCAAGACCCTGTCTCTAAATAAAAATATAAGAAGGGGCTGAGGATGTGGCTCATTGGTTAAGCGCCCCTGGATTTAATCCCTGTACCAAATAAATAAATTAATGTAAAAAAAAAAAATGGAAGAAAAGCAAAAGCCGCCCTCTGTGCGTATGGTCTTTCATACACAGTGACTTTTTTGTGCCTGAATTTTCCATGTCAGCAGGTGTGTAGTGTGGGAGATAAGGCTAGCAGGAGCAGGTGGAATTCACAGTTCAGGGATCTGAGTGGTACCTGCTGGTGCTCCAGCTACAGCCCTGAGGATTCTATATTGAAGGCTCACTCAACTTGGTCTTGCAGGGCAGTGCCACATTGCTAAAGGCTACTGTTGCTGAGGCTGGGGTGGTGAACTTCCACTCAGAGAGTGGCCTGGGTGGCTTAAAATGATGCTTATTGATGTCATCTTTTTTGGCTTTGAGGCTGGGAGAGGCTCTTTCATTTTCCATACTCATCTGTGACTTTTATAGCCACTCATGTTAACTTTCAGATTCTTATCTTCTCTTCTTGGGCCTTTGAAATGATGCTTTCTGTAGTTCAGGAATGTTTTATTTTTCCTCATGGTTATCTTGTTTAGGTAATGTATTCAAGGATAACATTTAGTTTTGCATTCTTATAAAGATTTTTCAAAATCATTTCTGTGTTTGAGAAGCTGTGTTGCAACTTTGAGTGTTAACCAGCCCCTGGCATGGTTTGGAAGTAAAGGCAGATGGATGAATGCTGTATGGGATCAATGCTATTGATGTATTGATGAGATGCTGGATTTATCCTGATCATTTAAACTGCATTATGTGTACATGCGAGATGCTGAGAATTGAACCCAGAGGCGCTTTACCACTGAGCTGCGTCCCCAGCTTTTTTTATTTCATTTTGAGTCAGAGTCTCACTAAGTTGCCCAGGCTGGCGTTGAACATAGGATCCTCTTGCCTCAGCCTCCTGAGTGGCTGGGATTATAGGTGTGTACCATCATGCTCAACTACACCTTTATGACTTTCATCACAGCATAGAGACTAGTATAATTATGTCCACCTGAAAGATTAGTCCCTGGCCACATTCTTCCCTGGGTAACTGCCCTGGAAGAGTGTCCAGCATTTCATAGACAGGACAGCGCCTCCTGTCAGCCTCGGTGGCCACACCTCCTATAATCCCGTAATCACTCCGCCCAGATGTCGCGTGAGTAGTACCGTGTAGTGTGTGGTCTCTTTGGCTGGTGTTTTCACCCAGTGTGGTCCTTCAGACCTATACGGGCTGTTGCCACCTCTGTAGCCAGTGGATCACTCAGTGCTGAGCAGTGTCCCTGATGTGGGTGCGCCACAGTTCAGTTGACCATCCACCTACAAGACTGCTGTGTTCTAGTTTGGGGCTGTGATGAATAAAGCTACTACCAACATTCTTTTACAGAAGAAAAGTTCCATTTCTTCAGGATGAATGTCCAGAAGTGCAGTTGCTGGGTTTCATGGCAGTTGCATGTGAAGTGTTCTAAGAAAGTGCCACATTGTTTTCCAAAGTGGCTGTGCTGTTAACGTCATGACCTCAGCAGTGATGCACAAGTGGTCCAGGATCCCGCCACACAAGTGTTCGTATTTCATGTTCTTACAGGTGTGGAAGCATCTCAAGTGTTTTCACTGTGCTTCCCCTGGCAGCTGGTGAGATTGATCATGTTTTCACACGCATCGGGGTGTGTCTTCTGTGAAATATCTGTTCATGTCTTTGGCCGTTCACTAGTTGGATTGTTTTTAAATGTTGAATTTGGGGAGTTTTTAGTATGTCCTAGATTCGAGTCCTTTTTTAGATTTATGGTTTACAGATATCTTCATCTGATCTAGTTAGTCCTTTTATTCTCCTAACAGTCTTTGACAGAGCAGAGGTTTAATTCTCAAAAGCAAGTTTAACATGCTTTTTTCTGTACAGATCTAAGAGATCTCTGCCTGCCCTGATCCTGAAGATCCTCTTCTGTGTTTCTTCTGACGTTTTTTTTTTTTTTTTGGGGGGGGGTGTCTTTTACATGGTACACTGTGAGTCCTGGTTTGGTCTCCTCCTTGCCATTTCTCTGCCTTTGTCTTGTCTTCTGGTGCCTGGAGCAGACTGTGGGTGGTCTTTGGGCTTCAGGGAAAGCACCGTTTCACCACTGGTCGTGGTGTTTGTGGGTTTTTGTAGCCACCCTTCATTAAGTCAAGAATGTTCCCACCTTGGGACTGGGGTTGTGGCTCAGGGGTAGAGCCTAGTATGTGTGAGGACTGGGTTTGATCCTCAGCACCACATAAAAATACATAAAATAGTGGTATTGTGTCCATCTACAATGCAAAAAAAAAGATTGTTCCCCTCTGTTTCTGTTTTTCATGAATAGGTATTGAATTTTGTTAATTTTTATTTTTTTATTTTTTATCAGTTGTAGGGTTGTGTGATTATATCTCTGTAACCTGTTAATGTGTTGGATTACTTCTAGTGACTTTCTCATATTGATCCAGTCTTTCATCTCTGGAGCAATCCCTCCTTGGTCATGCTGTATATTTCTTTTTACATATTGTAGAATGGCACTTGCTAATGTCAAGGACTTTTGTGTCTGTGTTCCTAAGGAAAATACTGAACTTTGGGAGGTTCTCTCTCTTCTCTTCAACTGTTGTGCTATTAAAAAAAAAATTAGTTGTTGTATTTTTCTTTCTAAAATTTCCATTTGTTTGCTCTGTATATCTTCTGTTTCTTTGCTTAGACTTTATTCTGATGATGCTTTAAAGTGTTTGTCCACACTGACATCTCCATCCTGGCACTGATGGGCATCTGTTGATTATTTTTTCATTCAGCTTTAGATCTCTCTACACCTTGGTGGGACGAGTGACTTCATTTGAAACCCCAGAAGTTTGGTATTGTGCCATGAGGCTGTGGGATTTACATTCACCTGTCTTAGCCTTGCTCTTGCAGGGGATGGGAGGCTGCCTCCTTATTGCTGGCCACAGGCCCTGTGGACCCCTAGGGCCCATTGCCTGGGAGTGGCTCCCAGCTCCTGCTCTACCTAGCTTTGGGCTGTGGGTGGGATGGACTGTGGTGGGAGAAGATAGTTCTAACTTCTGTGCTTATAGAATTGAGTGCAACAGCACAGCCAAGTAAGAATAGCTTTCAGGTATATGGAAATAATGCCAGTTCTTTCATGGACTAGGTCCTGCAGCGTGATCACTGATGTCATGGAGAAAGAATCAAATGGCACAGGCACCTTTTATTTATTTTATTCGTCCTTTTATTCTCCTAACAGGCCTGTGATCTCAGCCACTTGGAGACTGAGGCAGGAGGATCACAAAAGTTCAAGGCCAGCCTCAACAACTTAGCAAGACCCTGTCTCAAAATAAAAAGGCTGGGGATGTAGTGCAGTGGTAGAACACCCTTGGGTTCAATCTCCAGTCCAAAAACGAAAATTGAATGACAAGAATACCAGCTGGAGGGGCAGCTGCAAAAGTGGGGCAGGACCAGGAAAGTTGGTAGAAACCCTGTGTTGCAGGGAGTTAAAGCAGGGGCAGGGGAAGAGCAGAACTTGTGAGAGCCAGAACTCCCGCTTTTGGCGGCTTTGGGCCTTAGGATTTGAACATGTGTGGGACATTTCCTTTTGTTTTCCAAAGACTCAAATCCATGCTGGCCCGTTTTTTTTTAACTTTTTAAAATTTTTATTTTTGATACTGGGGATTGAACCCAGGGGTGCTTTACCACCAAGCAACATCCCAGTCCTTTTTTTTTAGTCAGAGTAATGCTAAGTTACTTAGGTCCTCACTAAGTTGCTGAGGAAGGCCTTGAACTCGCAATCCTCCTGCCTCAGCCTCCCAGTGGCTCGGATCACAGGTGTGGCCGCCATGCCCTTCTCCTCCACACTGCTTTTTGGAGCTTCAGCTGAACATATCATTTTGAAAAGCTGGGAATTCGCATATCATTGTCCAGCATTTGTGAAATGGTCAGTACCAGTGTTTGCTCAGGAGGTGGTGGGCATCCTGTGCCACCACCCTGCCTCGCCTCACTGTCCACGTGGCAAACTCCTCTTGTGAGTGGGATGGAAAACAAGCTGGGGACTCCATTCAGACCTGAGGCCCCTGCCCACTGGCAGGTGCTGTGGCCACCAGGTCCTGGGCCTTCCTCCTTCCTGTAGCAGAGAATGGAAGCCAGCTGTTCCACAGTGTGAGGTAGTGTAGTCAGTGCCCAGCCTGGCCTCCCCACTCTCCTAGGCCCACGTTTGTGAGTCCAGTGGCTCTGGCATGGGGATAAAGGCCAGAGCATGTCTTGAGGTTGACATCTTTGCTGTGTGTCTGATAGAACGTAAGCAAATGCCTTGGATATAAGCTGTTCACCAGTGATGCCTGGGCAGAGCTGACACAACTGTTTTGTGGCATACTGGGGATTGAACCCAGGGGCACTCGACCACTGAGCCACATCCCCAGCCCTTTTTTGTATTTTATTTAGAGACAGGGACTCAACTGAGTTGCTTAGCATCTTGCTTTTTGCTGAGGCTGGCTTCAAACTTGCAATCCTCCTGCCTCCCTCTCCCAAGCTGCTGGGATTACAGGTTTGTGCCACCATACCCGGCCTCCCATGTTAACTTTTTATATCTTACTGATAGTCTGTGGGACACTGAGACCAGAGCTGGCAGCCAGTGGTGGGGTTAGTGGCAAGGGAAGCAGTGGTAGATTTTCTTGGCCATAGGAGTTAGATGTGTGGACCCTGCATGCTCAGCCTTCAGTCCTGGTCTGATTTGGGGGTAAGAGCTTTGCCATTCCTGCAGAATGTATGGTCTTGGGTCTTAGGCTGTAAGTCAAGGGCTATCTTTATATGTTGTTTCCTTTGAGTAAAGATCATTCATTGAATCTCTGCTGTGACTCTTCACTGTGTATCTTTTTCTCCTTCAATTTATTCATGTCAGGTTGGATTTGGTCCCGAGAGTCCCAAAAAGAAATAGCAAAAGAGAGAGAAGCATATCGCCAGAGAACAGTTGCCTTCCAGCAGGATCTTGAAGCCAAGTACCATGCTGTGATCTCGGAAAATCGACGTGCTGTTGCTCAGCTGTCTCTGGAACTTGAAAAGGAGCAAAACAGAACAACTAGTTACCGTGAAGCCCTTATCTCTCAGGGGCGGAAGTTGGTGGAAGAAAAGAAACTTCTGGAACGGGAATGGGCTAAGGTAATGCAAGAAAGAAGCCAGCTGCAGCCTCTGAGAAGTGTGTACCTGAGCCGTCTGGAGGAGGAGGAGGACTGGCAGAGGAAAGCCCAGCTCATGCTGAAGGAGGTTGGAGAGGCTCTTGCAGAAAGGCAGAACATCTACTGCAGCCTGGTCACCCCCCGCCGCTCACGGCTGGAGCTGGAGAAGAACTTACTGGTGCGTGCCGCCATCGACCCAGTGGCTGCTGACCTAGAGATGGCAGCTGGCTTGACTGACATATTCAAACATGACACCTACTGTGGTGACATCTGGAATAGCAACAAACGCCAGAATGGGAGGCTCATGTGGCTATATCTCAAGTATTGGGAGCTAGTCGTGGAGCTGAAGAAGTTCAAGAGAGTAGAGAAGGCCATACTAGAGGAGTGAGGTGTCCACGGCCACCGGTTGCTTCTCATGACATTCTCCCTGCTGAGCTCCCACACTCCCTCTGCTTGCTACCCGCATCCCACCACATGCAGCTGCCCTCAGTGGCATTCCAGCTTTGCCACCCTCAGCAGCAGTGAGGATTCAGCACATAAAGGTTTTCCCTGTGATGCTCAGCAGCTGTGAAGGGTTGCCTTTCTCTGAAGCATTTTGTGAGCTGCTAATATTTAGCAGAACAGTATAATGTCATTTTAGTTCGAGGGTAAAAATTGTTTTTAAAGGTCAAATATAATATTGATCCTCACTGTAAGTAATTTTCTGTGACTTTTCCTAAATAAATTCTGTCTTCTAGGATTATTTTTTTTCCTTCCCAGATTCCATTTAGCAGTCGTCAGGCAGTGGTGATGAGGGGTGTTGTAAGACCACGGAGGCTGTAAAACATTTGGAAGCTCTCATGCTCATAACAGGAAAAGCACCCAAGTGGTTCTCCTAGCCAGCAGGTGCCCCAGTATTTTGATAGCCACAGAGGCTATCAAAGTGTAAGGCAGGCCCACAGAGCCCACGTTCTGGAAGAGGCTGGGTGGACAGGTCCCAGCTCCTGGGGGATGGGAGGATCACTTCAGAGTGTTTTCTGTTGATCTGGGGTGTTGAGTGTACATGAGGTTGCAGGGCTTAAAATGGAAGGAGTTGGTTGGGGGGTGGGTATTAGGATCTTGCTTCTCATTTTGCTTACTGCAGGCTGCTTTGCCTTGGAACAAAGTTAGAAGGTAATGATTGGCCTGGACCTTCTGAAACCTAAATGCACAGTGACAAGACTTTTGTACTTTCATCAAGTTAACTTATTTGGTGGAGAGGCCTTCCCCTTTTTAAAGCTCCTAGATAAAGAGGTATCTCAGTCACATATTCCATGTATGCATGTGTGTTTTGCACCACTGATATAGTGTCAATTTCATGGTGACAAGAAAATCTTTCTGCAGACATTGCAGCAGCAGAGACAAGTGGCAGGGGAAAGCCTCCCCAGAGAACCTGCATGTTCTTTGAGAACTGCATGTCTAGTTGGAGAGTGTAACTGTTTCTGGGTCAGCTTAAAGTAGGGGGAGGCTTTCTAGCTGCAGCCTAAGTTGCACCAGTGTTTGATGTGATGAACACACTGAGCCCCAACATGCTCCAGCAAGCAGCTGCCTTCATTCTCTGGGTAGCCCTTTGCTGTACTATGATCAGGACGGATTGCTGGGCAGAGCTGGGATCACTCCCTCTGCCTGCTCCTTGAGAGGTCCTGTCTCTATTCTGGGCTCGATGAAGTAGTCCCTGTATTTCTCAGTTAGGATTCTGGTTGTAAGCAGTAGCTTAATTCAAGCTGTCTTAGACTTGTAGAAGAGGATTTGCTTTAAGGGTGTCTCAGACTCAGGGCAAGAATGGAGAGTGCCATTCAGACTTGGGAGGAGCTAGAAATGGCACCTGAGCAACTCAGGGACCTGCCTACTTCAGTCTGTTCCCTGCAAAAGGCTCCTAAGGCTACACCCCATCCTGGACTGGCATACTGCCTGTCCCACTCAGGCCTTCAGAGAAGTTTGGGAGCCCTGGGTTATACAATGCTGTGGCACTTGAATGGAGTGGGGACAGTGAAAGCCAGGGATCACAGAGTATGTGGCTTTTGTTAACAGGAAGTCTATGATGACTCAAGGCATGGTATTGAAGTCCTAGAGCTCTGCAGCAATGAAGGAAGCTCATCTCCCTTGCCCACCTCTGGCAGGAAAGGGTCTTGCTGTTGGAGTGACTGGATAGCAAAGGCATTAGGGCAGTTCCCAGGCCCAGGGTGGCCTGAGGTCTGGGTAGGGTGTTTGGTCCCTTAGCCTGAATTGAAATCCCAGACTCAAGAGCCCTCATGTCAGCTCAGGCAGCCCTGCCCCAGTCAGGAAAGTACCTCCTTTACCTGGGAATCCTGCAGAGTGAGCCCCCAGTATGCCTTGTTGGGCCTGCCCATATAACCCATATAACGTGGGTTACAGAACTGGTCAGCCAGAGAGGTACTGTGTTGGGGTGCTCATGCACAACTCTACATCAGTGTTCTTCAAGTTCCTGGTTCTGAGCCCAACCCTGCTGGGATGGCCCCTTGTGGCTGGTCAGTGGCCAGCAGCTGAGTGGGGTGCTGGAGTCTCCTGGCTGCAGAAGCTTGCTTGGTGAGCATGGGGTGTTGGCCCTACTGGTGAGGCCTCTGGCACGTGGCTAGGCCAGGGGGCTGCTCTCTGGGGCCAGAGCTGACTCTGCTTGGTGGTGCCATAGGATGGGGCTCCAGACCGGCAGAAGCAGATTGGTAGGGGTGGCTGTGGTAAGCATCAGGACCAAGTGGTAACCAGTGCCTTTATCCTGGAGCTGCTGCCAAGGCTGGTAATCATGGGAGTTCAGGGTTGAGTGACAGCCAAGTAGAGCTCTCTCCACTCCTCATAATAGAGTTAGCTGGCCATGACAGAGGTCCATTGGTCTGTGGATATCTCCTCTGTCTCTGTATACTCAAGAAAGAACCCTTGCAGGTATCCCAACATGTGGAACCAGCCACTAAGGTAGGAAGGGCCAAGTTGGAGCTCCCAGAACTGTTCCTCTGCCCTGCAGCATGATCATCAAGAAGCCCTGCTGCACTCCTAGGGGAACAGCAATGACCAACCCCCCAGTGAGACCTAGGAATGCAAGGAGGTGAGCCCCACGCTGTCCTCACTGGTGTCCCTGTTCCATTCACCCATCTCTTCCTGGAGAGGCTAGCTGGATCTTGGCAAGTGATAGTGGCCCCCAGAGCTTCACCAGGAGCTACACCAGCTACAGCTGCCATGTGTATGCACTGACTCCAATTTACACACTTACCTTGCAAACAGTAGATGCTGCTGGCCCTGATAGATACCAGCTATGTGACCGTAGATCCCGGGTGGCCACAGGCAAAGTCCCAGTGTGAGGAAGATGTGACCAAAGTCCATGGGTGCTGAGAGCACTGTCAGGCTGGGGTGGAGTTGGTCCAGAGGAGCAGGTGAGTCTCACACTTGGGGACAGGTATGTAAGGTTCAGAGCATTTGGACTGCTGCCTAGGAATGAATTTGGACCAGCATAGAGGGGGTGCTGTCCTGAATGTTTGCTGCCAGCAACTTCACCTGCAGAGGCAGACTTCTGTGTGCCTGCCCCTCCCCAGGTAATGGGCCACACCCTGGGCCCTTCTCCTTACAGCCACACAAATGCAGGGCTCTCCTGGTCCAGCTAGCCATTGCACATGATTGGTTACAGTGCCACTAGAGGCTGAGTCTGTAGTCATGAAAATTCAGACACTCAAAATAATGAGTTACTCTGCTTTTTAGAGTCTGAATTTTTAAGTAATTTAAAAATTTTGCGTGGTGCCTACTCTTTCTAAGAGCTTGCTGTAATTCAGACTCCATGTGCCCGAAACTTGATTGCAAAGAGACTGCCAGCGTGAACCTTTGCCAGTAAGGCACAGCCAAGCAGGCAGAGAACGATTACAGTAGGGTGGGGTGAACACTTGGTGTCAGCTCACACTGAGACCCTGAGGAAGGACGCCTTCAGCAGGCAACCCTGCGAGGCTCTCCTGCTGGGTCCCACCAGAAAGAACAGCCTGGGATACACCTGGAGCTCCAGGCTGCAGAGCACCTGAGATGGAGATGCCCCTGGGGGAAGTGCTGCCAGGAGTGGTGCTCAGGTGGTACTGGGTCCAAGCTCTTGTCTGTGCCTCAAGGAAATATCTTATTTCCAAACTCTTAAATCCTTTTAAAAGTCTTGAATGGCGGTGAAATAAGGACCATGGCTTGGTAACCACACTTATTTTATTAGCACTTGTCATTCTAATTCTCAACCTTTGGTACAGAGCCAAGCTTAGTGGAAACCAACTCCACCTCTGGTGACAATCAGCCCCTTAGGGGCAAGGAGCCCAGGGCCATGGGCGTGGGGCCTGGCTGTTCAGGGAAAGTTAGGGCTGGAGAAACCACAGGACATCCATAAATGCCACACTCTGTGTCCTGACCTACTGCTGAGGCCAGCACTCACTCAGATACAAAGCAAAGCAAGGACAGAGTTACTGTATCAGCCGGAAGCCGCTGGGTGCTCCTGGCCCTGTTTTGAGCAAACAAGCCTGGCTTGTCAACATGCTAGCCCCACAGACACATCTAGCATGCCGTGTGAGCCTCCTGCCGGGCACGCAGATTTGGTTCATCTTTGCTTTTCAGTCTCTTCCTCAGCTGTTTTATGGGCTGCTTCTTTCTTTACACATGTTCTGTGACAAGTCCTCGTTTCCTTCTTCTTGCTGCCTCAGAGTCCAGTCGACCCTGCTCCTATGGCAGCCTGCCCTGGCACCCATTGCACCTCCACTCACTACCACATGTGCCTGCCATAGGGTCTGCTGCCTGACCCAGGAGCACCCATGACACATCTTGAAGGCAGGGCTTCCTCTCCTACAGCACCTAGCAGGCTTGTTTACCATTTTCACTAAGAACTGCTTTTGGTGGTGATGCTGGTGATGAATGTGCAGCCCAAGCCTCTGGCAATAGGACTGGCCCTGGGCACCCTGCAGGCTGAAATGCAAGACTGCCCTTGCCCTGGTGGGGCGCCTACTCCACTTGTTTCAGTGCTCTGGAAAAGTTTTCTAAAGCAGTTTTGAAAGCTTGCAGCAAGAAGGTGCCGAGCTCATTGCTTGTTTCCTGGATGTCTGGGTCGAAACTTCCGAAGACAGGCGTGGAGGCCTCGATGTCCTCGCGGTTGGCCCGCAGCAGCACCGCATGCAGCTCCTCAGCAATCGCATTGTACTTCTGCTGGTCGAATTTGGACACGGCCAGCTCGTCCTGGGGGTAGGCAGTGCCTTCGGGGTAGCAGTCCTTGGGCACTGGGAACTCAATCCGCCGCAGCTCAGGCAGCTCGCAGAGGGCGGTGAAGAGGCGCTGGAGGGCGCGAGCCGATAGCGGGTTCCCTAGGAACCGGAACTCCTGTAGCTGGCGGCAGGGGCTCAGGCCCAGGATCAGCATGCCCACGTGGCTGTCTGCGATGCTGCATTCCTCCAGGGTCAGCGCCCTCAGTGTCTGGGAGGCCCGGCGGAGCAGTCTGAAGAAGGTTGAGGGGTACAGGTGCACCAGGTTGTGTCCACTGAGGTCCAGCACTTCCAGGTGGGCAGCGTGTGCACAGTCTGCCAAGAAAGCCATGTCGGCGTGGTTCAGGGCACAGTTAGCCAGGTCCAGTGCTCGCAGTGGGGTTCTGAGGGGGCTGAGGGACAGGCAGAAAGCAGCACAGGTAACAGCAGTGTTTCAGGTGAGCTGGGGTTTAAGAGTAGGTGACAATCCACTTGTTTCTCTATCACAAATTGCCTCCCATGGATAAATCCAGCTGCTGCCTGATTTCATACCGTCTGCCATTTGAGAATAACTGGTGATTTTAATTAAATTCTTGAAAAAATTCAGAGAGTTTGTGATAAGGGAAATTACGTGAAGTTCAAGTGTCTGTGTCCACAGCGATTTAGGTTTACTGGAACACTGCCACGCTCCCTCACTCACCTAGCCTATGGCTGCCGTTTGGCTTTGTGGCAAAGAATAGGCTTTAGGATTGGGGTGTGGTTCAGTGGTAAGTGCCAACCCAGCATGCAGGAGGCCCTAGGTTCATCCCCAGCACACACAGTTACGCAGGGGGCCTTTTTCCACACCTATACCCAGACACTGCAGCAACCCCTTTCATGTTGTGAGGGAAGTCCTGTCGGGAATGGCAGCTCAGAGAGCTGGCAGCAGGGGCAGCAAAAGCAAATATAAGCAAGCAGGAAAGCACCCTTTCACTGAGGAACCAGATCCACATGGTGTTAGAACTGGGAAGGGAAACCAGAGACCCTGACAGCCTCTGCATTCCTAAACCACCAGTTTCCATTTAGTTGGAGTAGGTGGCAGCAAAGGAGCAGCTGCAGGGGCGTCTCTGGAACAGCGTCCATACCTGGGACTTGTGAGAACACACATTCTCAGCCCACTCACCCTTTTGGGACCCTGACCTGTCAGTACCCGATTCCTGCTCTTTGTTCCTTCCTATCCTCCTGCCACAGCTACCTCTCACTGCCCACCCACACCTGGTGGATCTGCTGCCAAGAGCCTGCCCCTGGGACAGCACATGAAGCCACCCCAACTGTGTCTCTCCCTGGCTGCTTTCCTGCACCCCTGTCTATAGCAGAGCTGCCCAGAAGGAGGCACCCTGACCCCTCTACCTGAGGGCTGCACATGCAGTCCTCCTGTGAGCCATCCAGGAGGAGCATTGCCCCCGCAGACCTTCAGATGAGACTGCAGCACCAATGGCTGACAGGCCAGCTCAGCCTCACTCCCACTCCTGATATGGTATGACATCGGTGGGTTCGGGCAATTTGTCCCACAACAGGTAAGTTGTTGGGTGGGGGTGTTCTTATGCTTTGTTTACTTGCTACTTAGTATGTTCTCTCTTGCTAACTGGAAGCAGTCCCAGGTCCCCCCAGAGCACTGTTCTTTTCTGGTGGCTCTAACTCATAGTTACCTCAACCCTGTCCCTCTCCTATAGCTTTGGCCAAAGCAACCCCAAAGAGATGAACCAGTAGCCTTATAAGTTAGCAGGTCCCATCCCTGTTCCTCAGCTCCTCTCCAGCCTTCCTTGCCAGGGCCCAGAGTGCTCACCTGGCCTCTCCTCTACTCACCTGAGCAGCGTCTGGATCTTCCCGGTCAGCGTGGAGAAGGCCACACTTAGCTCTGTGAGCTGGCTCATCTGGCTGAGCTCCCAGGCGATGGAGGAAAGGAGAGAGTCCTCACCCTCGGGAAGCGGCGTGGAGGTGGGGGGTATGTCGAAGGCCCTGGTGGGCAGGGTGAGTGAGACCAGCTGAGGGAAGCCCACCTGGGCCAGCAGCTGCTGCACGTGCCCAGCATTCAGCCGCACATTGTGAACCACCTCCAGCTTGCGCAGTGCACCTGGCTTGGCCAGGCCCAGCACATGCAGGAGCTGCCCAGGGCTTAGGCTGTCCGCCCGGAAGGACAGACATCGCACCTGCAGAGGGGCTGGGCCTGATGGCTGCAGGGCCTGCACCACCACCTCAAAGTTACCTTCAGTGACAAAAAGGTCAGCAAAGACCTCAGTGGAGCGCCTGCCCATGCAGGGCTCTGCCTGAAGCTCACAGCAGGTCCTGGCCAGCAGCTCGGTGCGTCCCCACCTTCCCAGTGCCCTCCTGCAGGGGCACCGCTGCACCTGCACATCTCGAATGCCAGTGAGGTCTGCCACCCGCAGCCAGCGGCTCCCACCCTGCAGCACGTGGTCAGCAAGGCCCCGCACGCAGGCCTCCAGGCAGGTCCTGCAGGCTCGGTCACGCAGGTCCTCTGGGTGGTCAGTGCTCGGACCCAACAATGCAGCCAGCCGGAACTCCTCCAGTGGCCAGCATCCCAGCACAGCACGGGTCACTTCTGCCTGCTCCAGCAGGTAGCTGGCCTTGAACAGAAGTGGGTAGAGGTTATGGGCCACACTGTCCAGGCTCCCCTGGGCCAGCAGGGGGTAGGACACCAGGGCTTCAGCAGAAATGAAACGGAGCGACCTCATGGCGCCCTCAGACCAAGGCAGGACAGCATTCTTCTCTCTGGTTCTGATCGAGGTGTGTGCCCTTCATGCCTATTTTTAGCTGCTGCTGCTGCTGCTGGGAGTGCTTGGCTTTGGGCAGAAAGTGGCGAGCTTGCCCTTCAGTCATCTGACTGCTATTTTGGTCCTGGGGAGCCTGTCTGGTGTGACCATTAGAGGCGGCTGTCCACCTTGTGGCACCCAGATTGTGAAATCAGAGCTGCTTGGCTCCAGGTGCCCTATGCGGGAAGCCTAGGACATATAAAAAGGCAAATCACCTTCACTTCTGGGGATACCAGGATACCAGCAATGGCCCCCTTTTCCCTCCTGGGAGAAGTCTCTGTTACCCCTTTTTAAATAAACCCTGCTTTATACGCTTGCCTTGGCGTGCTTCTCTAATGATATACTTCAACATGTGAAGAAGCGGAACTCGTCACCAGTAAACGGCAGTATCATGACCACTTGGGAAGAGGAGCACATTATAAATGGCCACAGCTGCCCACCTGGCCAGTACCCCCACCCAACAACCTCTGCATCCTTTAGTGCTGGCTGCATGCAGTATCACAGAGGAAGATGGAGTGAACTCAGGGTACATGAAAGCTGCTCTGTCCCCTCACCAGTGCCTGGCCTCAGCCCACACCTCATAAGGCAAGGGGGGGTGTTTCTTGAAAATGCACAAACTCATAAATGAAGACTATGGCATCTGCTAGTGCAGTCCTCGAGGCCGGCACCATCGGGGGACAGCATGATGGGGTCAGAAGCACTGCTTTCCTTGTGAACAGGCTCTCCTAACCTGCCTTCTCTGAACCCAGAGCCAGACCCAGTGTGGACAGAAGATCTACTTCCTACCACCAGGCCCCACCTCCTGAAGGCTCCACCACCTCCCAATAGTGTCCCTGCTGGGGACCAGTCTTAAGCACTTGGCCTTGGGGGGCATTTGAGATGCTGCTCACAGCTGTAAAGAGCTTCCCTTCATAGCTGGCTCCACTCAGCTTGGTTAGGATGAGGACTCAGTGCTGGCGTGGTTCATGTCCATCAAATTGGGAGGATACTCAGCTGCTATTTCCTCAAATTTCCTTTGCCCCTGCTGTGGGAACTCTAACTACAGCTCACTAGTCACTGTCCTCCAACTCACTGATGTTCTGCTCTTTTTTTGTTTTGGTGGGGGAGGGAGGGGCAGGGGCAGTTCTTTTAGCGTGTTTCCTTTTGGACAGGGACAAGTTAATTTAGGTGTCAACTTGACTGGATTAAGGACTTTCCAGAGGGTTGGTAAAGCATCCCTTCTAGCTGTGTCTGAGGATGCTTCCAGAGTAGACTGGTGTGCAAGTCAGGGCTGGGTGGGGATGAGCGGCCCTCCGTGAATGGGCACCATCAGGTAGCTGGGCCCCAGCAAAGCATGAAGGCCCAGGAAAGGGGGATCTGCCCTCTCTGGAGCAGGGCAGCCTCTCCTCCTGTCCCTGGACTCAGAGCTTCAGGCGCTCTGGCCTTTGAGCTTGCACTGAGCCTCCAGAGTCTCCAGGTGCAGGTGGATTTAAGCTCATTTCCTACTTCTTTATCTCAGGTAGAGGTGGAAAGTATTTTTTTTTTTTGATTAATAAAACATTCTTTAAAAATTTGAAGAATTTTGCAGTAATGTCAGCCCTTCATAATCACTGTTTCCAAATCCAGTGATTCAACCAAACAAGGATGGAAAATACTTGGACACTGCTTCTCTACTGAGCACATGCTGACTCCTTGGGGTCATCTTCTTTGTCAGGCATGAGTGATCTGGAGGTGATTGAGCACATGGCAGGACTGTCTGGTGGGGTAAGCACTGCTCAGTGCCCAGGAAAGCTTGTTTTCCCTGGGAAGTGAGACCAGAAGGACTCTAAGAACATGATCAGGAAGGAAGCGGAGAGGGGAGCCGGCCACATGTCTGTCTCAAACCTTCAGGTGAGGATCAAAGCAGAGCGGCCTTAGTTGTAAAGCAGAAGAGTGTGCTCTGAAGAGGAGCTCTACCATGCAGTGAGCATGCACCGTGTCCCACTCAGCCTCTTCCCTGAGGGGCACAAGAGCTCCGTGAGGACAGAGACAGTATCTTTCCTGGGCCCTCTGTGGCTGCACAAGTTTGTAGCAGGGTGCTATGCTGCAGATGTGGTTTGGGGGTCTCTGGCAGCAGGTGAAATTTTATACCTGAGTGCCGCAGTCTGGCTGCAGCAAAATAACCGGGGGGTGACGAACAACTTGTGTATGTTGATACAGCAGGAGAGGGAGCCGTTTATTGCAGGACAGGAGCGGTATTTATACATTCCACACAGCTTATCTTAATTAGCATAAACTAGATACATCAGTCAACCAATAAGGAATCTCCACACTTAATGGCTCGCTGGCGTTACTTCACAAACCACTCCCTCTGGCATTTTGCCAGGCGCCATCCAGACTTGTTTACAGACCCTAACATTTCCCCCTTTTGTTTAATTTAAATAACGACCATAGTGGTTTTTACACAAACACCATAAATAATCTGCTACAAGCAGAAGGGGAGGATACAAAATGCCACAATACCAAGCCAATTGATGGCTCCATGCAAGAAGCCCTTGGAAAAATTATACCAGTAATGACACCGTTAGCAAAGATACCGAGTTACAATTTGTTGTAGATTACAGTTTGTTGTCTTAGTCCAGGTAAAGCAGTGTCTCAATAGATTAACTCACAGTCCAGGTAAATCACAGTCCAGGTAAGTTCTGCATGCAGCTAGCTTAAATCACAGTCCAGGTAAGTTCTGCAGGCAGCTAGCTTGATCCGAAGTCTCCTCCGGTTCTCAGCAACACTGGAAATTCTTCCACCTTCATCTTCATTGGCACTGGGATGAAGGCAGGAACTCCGGATGGCTAAAGAGAATCCTGTAGCATTCCACTAAGAAAACAACCTTCTGAACAATTTAGTACATTATCTCAAGGTTTTTTACATTTGAAATAAGCCTTAATAGTGCTCATTACTCATCAGCCTCCAGGTGTGGGAGAACCATTGTAGCTTAGTTATTGGCATTGAAAATTATCAAACTTCAGGGACTCGGGCGTCTTCCACCCAGCTGCAGCGTCCCAGGCAGCCCCAGATGGCCCTGGGGAGTGTCCCGGACTCAAACTGCTTCTGGGCACAGGTTTGGATTTGGGCTCTCACAGTGGCATCACGCTCCCCGGCTGTGCCGCTTGGAAAGCCCTTGCTGCGCGCCATGACCGGCTCGAGCACGTGGCAGCTGCGATTCACGCACCCTCGCACCCTCCGGTAACGAAAAGTATTCAGTAATAGCCTTTTGCTGCAACTTTTTTCCTGATAATCCTTCCTCCTCTGAACTTTCTTTTTCTTTCTGACTAGAGTTCCTGGGCTTTTATCAGCACATGCCCTAATTGCTCTTGGTTCCACTGGGGTGTCTCTTTCCCTTATCAATTTACTTTTTATCCCTTCCATATTTTCATCACAAAGACAATACAATACACTGAGACAAAACAAGACACAAACATAATGTATCAATCCTCTCCATTTTCTCAAAATGTCCATTTTTCCTCTCGCCCTATCTAGGGACGAGCAGATTTGCTCCCGTCCTATCTAGGGACGGGCAGCTTTTTTTCGTCACTTACCCCCGAGTGTCCTGGGGCTCCCCGTAATGGGCCACCATCTGCCGCAGTCCGGCTGCAGCAAACTAGCTGGGAGGTGACGAACAACTTGTGTAGATTGATACAGCAGGAGAGGGAGCCGTTTATTGCAGGACAGGAGCAGTATTTATACATTCCACACAGCTTATCTAATTAGCATAAACTAGATACATCAGTCAACCAATAAGGAATCTCCACACTTAATGGCTCGCTGGCGTTACTTCACAAACCACTCCCTCTGGCATTTTGCCAGGCGCCATCTTGACTTGTTTACAGACCCTAACACCTGAGCTCACAGATGTGTCCTCCAGGCTGGTCCCTCTGGCACAGAAATCAAACCCTCAGGGTCTATGGAGGGCCTTCTCCACATGGGCCTAGGGCTCCAGCCTGGCTGGCTGGCCATCCTGTTCAGACCTGAAGGGTAAGGCTCTTGACGAGTGTCCGCAGCACCAAGAAACAAGGTCTCCAGGAAGGCATGGTCAACCCCACTGGCCTCTTATCGACTGATGGACTGAGACAGACAGGCCACTAGGTCAGCTCTCCATTCAACCGGGCCAACAGCAGCACTCAAACAACTTCCAAAGCCCCGGGCTGTTTCTTTGCACCCTGTGTGTGCTCCAGCCCTCATCCTGTGTGCCAGTTCTGCTGTAGCCAAAGAATAGTGCATTCATACAGCCGGGGCCCTTGGACTGGTAGTCAAAGGGATGTACCTGTGACCTCTCCCTGAGTCCAATAATAGTGCATTAATACAGCCGGGGTTGGTCTGGGCCCTCACAAGGCACACAAGGCCTGCTACTCCCCACCCCACTGCCCCATGTCTTCTAGGAGGATAGCTGCAAGGGGCTGTCCAGCTTCCCTAGTTCTCTTTCAAACAACCATAGCACCTGCTCAGGAGAAAATTCCACATTCACAAGTGAAGTGGAAGTAACTGAGCTCTGGAGCCACGCAGCATGCTTCTCATAACAGCTTCTTCTTACATAACAGCTGGGCACCTAGATCCCGGCTCGACTACATTGCAAATGGAAGTTAGGCCTTGCCCCCAGGACACCGATGAAGGGAGGAGGGTCCCCTGCTCCTGCCTGCCCTGAGGATGTGACCTGGGTGCCCCTCCTCTGGCATCCTCAGGTCCCGAAGACTCTCCAGCTGCTGCAGATCTCATTCAAAGTGAGAACCAGCCTTGAAAGATAAAATGGATCCATCTCCACTTGGTTGCACAGTCCAGAGAAAAGGCAGCTCTTAGGGCTGGGCTGATCAGGTGGTCACATGAGCTCTCAGGCCCTGGGAGAACATGCTGTTGGTGACATCCCTGTCAGCCTTGGTGGGACAGCTGACTGGACTGGCTCCTGGGAGCTG